TATTTAAATTGTTTCAACTTAGCGGTTCTAGCAGCGAACGCTGACACTATAAGATATGTTAGCATAGTCCCTCCCGTGTACCCCACCGGTATTAGTAGGGTTGTGGCATAGACTAACCTAATGTTTTATCTATGGTTGTGGATGGTTGTGGTTTAGAAAGAGGTTAGTTAAGATTTTGATTTTGGAAATTATCCGTGGAAATGCGATAATGTTATGGTCTTTATTTCTATAAAGTTAATTCGATTCCAAAGTTAAATGTATTCAAAATCAAAAATTATTATAAGCGTTGCGTTTTACATATTTTAAGCTATAACTTGGCTATAATATTACCCGAAAACTATATTATATATTAAAATAAAAATTAAGAAATATAGCTGCATGGCAGTCATAAAAGGCATGTTTTTTATGTTTAAATTAAAAATAGACAACAACTGTGGTGATGATGTAACCAGCTGTATTGTTTACAATGCCATGCCATTGCCGTATTATTCAAATCAAAACCACGCGTGGTTAAGGAAGATACAGTGACAAAACCAAAGTTTATACTAACCTAAAGTGTAACAATAATAAAATGCACGAGTATAATGGTGGTCGAAATCCTTGTCCATTTTGCATTGTTGAAGATTGCGGTACGGCATTTTCTATGGGAATTATCGGTGGTTCAATGTTCCACACTTTCAAAGGGATCAGAAATGCTCCAAGCGGATTCAGAAATCGCATCAAAGGAGGTTTTGTTGCTGCTGTTGAAAATGCTCCCAAGACCGGCGGACGTTTCTCTTCGTTTTCAGTAATTTTCTCATCTACGACCTGTGCCCTAATGGCATCCAGAAAAAAGGAAGATTCTTGGAATTCCATAATCAGTGGTGCGGTGGCCGGAGGTTTACTATCAGTAAGAAGTGGAGTTCCTATTATGGTTGGAAATGCCATCGCGGGAGGAATATTGTTGTCAATCATAGAGGGTGCTATGGTACTTTTTGACAATCAATCCAATCAGCAATATAGTCCTCCAGTTTATGAATGAAGTTCAAGATGATTAAACTTCTCTAAATAAATCTTGACCTTTAAAGCAAATTCTGTGTATTTCAACATTGTAAGTTAGTTCAAGTTCAAACTAAGTTACTTTAATGTTTTATGAAATTTAGACTTCTCAGTCCTACAGCTTCTAGGAAAGGAACAGTGTTGGGCTAATAAGTTAGGCGAACTAACCGCTAAGTTTTAGAAGTTGTTTTTGTTTTGTTTTAATGGCAATTGTAATAAAAATTTTTTGAAGTTATGCGTGTTTTATATGACAACTAAGCTGCTTAGTAAGTTACATAAGTTATCCGGAACTTCGTGGCCGAGTTTAAGAAGCCTTAACTTGCTTATTAACTCAGTAATTTTTAAGTTAACTTAGGCACGCACTTGGCCCATGCCCTGAACATGTGCATGGCCCGCTATTGCGTAGAGCCTAAATGGTTGAGGTACCTACCTACATTAGTTTTGCCATATAACTTAACTCAGCTCTACAACATCCTTCCCTGAATTTCATCACAGCTATCTAGTTTTCATTCACACAGTAGGCCTGTTTTATAAATAAGAATATGACCTATTTATAAGATTGAGTTATAACTTAAAAACCCTTCTTTGTTGGTTGCCTTGTGTTTTTTATGTCCAGGTCACTAATGCGCTTTTGGCCACATGTGGGGCATCCTCAGAGGGCTACCGGTGCACTACTGGTACAATAAAAATACAAAACTACTTTATACTAGAAATTAAAAAAAACAATAAATATTATAGGCTACCTAAATAGGCTACCATTTACAAAAAGAGGTACCAGTAAATTGAAAAAGGTTCTTTAAACTGGTCGACTTAATTGACTAAACTATAGATACAGTATAAGATTTTTAGGACCTAGCAGGCAGACAAGCCTCTTATGCTGGGTTCAAATAACTTAATTTGTTTTTAGCGAATTTCCCATAGGGAATAAGCTATTACCATAGTAGGCCTACTCATTGTAAGACCTGGACACAGGACCGATTTTTTTCTTCGTTTTGATTTCCCTAGAGGCCAAAAACACCATCAAATTCATATATATATATATTCATGTATACAGGGCGACAAAACAGTCTGGAAACGGTTTAATATCTTTTTAACTAAATCCGTTAGAAAAGTCAACCCTTTCACATCAACTTACATGTATAAAAACTACTTTTTCCAAGCATTTTCATGTTTTTACCTCTACCAGGGGACGACCCATGAGGAGTAGGTACATAATCTTTAATGTAAGCATAGGTTTATATGCACATCATTTTAAAGATCTGGTCAAGTGGAGTTCATTGCCGGAAACCGCGTCTCGAAAGGTTCATCCGTTACAAAATGGCGGCTGTTCAAAGTTCTTGTGGAATATACCTTTACAGGCCTTAGTATTGGTATACTCGTATTAAACATTATCTTGAGAGTTGAAATTGTATTTTAAAGTCAACTAGCTCATAGACTAAGTTTATTCAATCTTCAAAACAAACTTAACAGGGTTTTAGATTTCCCGGCTAATTTTGACTATGGCGTATTTACCATTATTAAGGCCTGTGCAGGTATATTCCTCAAGAACTTTGAAATGCCACCATTTTGTAACGGATGAACCTTTTTTGACGCAGTTTCCGGCAATGAACTCCACTTGACCAGACCTTTAAAATGATGTGCTAATCAACCTACGCTTACATTAAAGATTATGTACCTATTCCTCATGGGCCGTCCTCTGGTGAGGGTACAAAAATGGTAATGCTTGCAAAAAGTAGTTTTCATACATATAAGTTGATGTGAAAGGTTTGAATTTTCTAACGAATTTAGTTAAAAAGATATCAAGCCATTTCCAGACTATTTTGTCACCCTGTATATGGCCTATGGGGTAAAAATAGGTTTTCCCATTTTTGACCCAAAAAACATAAAATTTAGCAATTTCTTTCCAAACCATTTTGTAGAGGAATGAAAATTTTAAAACGCACGTTTTTGTCCCTGGCCTTTTACTTCGTAGATACTGAATATGTAGTTTATCATTATGGGTTTTAATATTTTTTGGGATGGGAGCAATATGTCACACACAATTATTTGGCTTTAAATAGGTTCTAGGTATTTTTTTCGTATTTTTAAAGTCTTGAAACTCACGACCGTCACGTGTCCCTAGGGTACATTTTGCTACTTTCATGTTGTTTTTAGAAAAATTATTCATGCCTAAATATATAATGTCATATTTTTATTACATCAATAGTTATTAAACTTACGAAAAAGGAGCATATGATAATTTTGTTTTCATTGTAAACTGACTACCATGACTAAATAGGTCTGTCCCTCGATTTGACGTCACAACTATTAGGGAAGGCTACCGCCAGAACAGAGCCAAACAAAACGTAATGTCACGACCAAAGTTTCATGACCATCGCGGGTATTTTCACGATCAATCCAGCCTTATGGATTATACTGTGTTTGGTTGTGACAATAACTTTAATATCATTGTAAATTAAACACTTTAGTTCAATTGAAACACATATTTTTATTATAACTAACAGCATAATTGAAGGATTGTTTATAAAGATTTAGATTATTCCAGACAATTCACGTTGCCAACATCCCAGAGGACACATTGCGTTGCACAATGCTAAGTCTTCAAAATCAATTGAACAAATAGGCCCAAAAGACAGCACTTAACTGATGTGGTTTTTAACATTAATCCTATTTCCAACATTTCTTATGTATTTTCCACACTTTACCAACATATTTTCACCATTATTTTAGTGTATTTTGTACCTAGAGCCCAAAATGAGGTTTTGCCGGCTTGAGATAGTTTTTAAGTTCGAGACGAAGTTGAGAACTTAAAACGACCGAGAGCTGCACACTACCACTATTCACAATAATAATTAATGCACACTGATAGTCAAAGCAACTTTAAGGTTATGTGAAGAAGTAATTCCAGGAATCAGCAAAAATAATAATAAACAGTTGCCAGGCAATGGTGAAAATAAAACAATTCTATTGCAATGCTATGGATACTGATTGTGTATTTAATATGCAAGCGGGCAGCTGATTTTGCGGCCCTAGGGATGTAAAAACCTGATCGGTCCCCAAATGACGATGACAGCTGGCATGGCCAGCAAAACGTAACTGTCAGCCTCTAATTAACGTATGTAAAACAGCTAATAACATCATAGTGTGGTGAAAAAGATTTTTTTGTGCAATTTTTTTGGTTTATGATGGTTATTTCAAAATTTTCCATTACTCTGCGCCACCCTAATAACGTGAAATAAATAAACTGGCCAAATTAAATCAACATCATACTTCATACTAACATTATAAAACATTTCAATATGCTAAATTATTTATTTTTTCAAGCTCTTCAAAATGGTTTAAAGAGAAGTTGGGAAAATTTTATTTTTTGAGGGTCAAAATGGGAAAAACCAATTTTTATCCCATAGAACCCCCCATAACCCCTGATCCAATAGGTAGTCCGATCATGCTGGTTTGCGGACTCATTCAAGTTTTAGTTTATCCTTTACCTACACCTTCAACCCCAATTTCATGAAAATCGGACCAAAATTACTAAAGTTATCATGTTTACGGACACATATACTCATGACAATTTGAACAAACAGTGTTTTTCACAGTGTGTGCCTCTGGGGGCATAAAAATGAAAAAGTAAATCGGTCCCGGTCCTAGGTCCTCCCCTGCCACCTAATTAATAGCTACTTCCTTATAAGGAAGTTCGCTAAAATTATTATAAACAGGAACCACAGTAAATAATAAACTTAGATCACTTGACAGAAGAGTCCACACAAAACTCCCCTTAGAGGCCCGAGCTTTCTGTCCGAACTACAGTAAAAAAACAAAAAGAGCGACCAATCTTATAAAACAAATAAGGTTTCAGCTACAATGAACAAGAGACAAATGTACAGTTTTTGAATAAATTGAATTGAATTGATCAGAGTTCCTAATCATGGAAACAAGAGCAAGTTTATTTTACCAAAGCGATATATTCTTGGATAATAAGCACATCTCCGAGTTAAACAACATTATATTTCTAAAATAAAGTCTTTTCCTCCGACTCCTGACTCAAGGTTCTCCGGTCTTGATCACTTTTATCAATGCGCTGATGTTGTTGTTGGACATTGCTGATCTGCAGTGGGTGATTACATCGTTCTTGTGCTTTCCAACTGTAAAGATTCACTAGTTAAAAAACACCAAAATAGCTTAAAACTAATCTAAAAAAAGTTAAAAACACTTTATGAGAGAAAGCTTGGTTCTGAGATCTTAATTACATTTACGTGTAGACATTTACGTAAACATACTATTATTTTTGTCAAATGTCACCTCTAAGCCTGGCAGCCTGTTGAATGATGACGTTGATGCTACGCAGCGTCTCCAGTAGCAGTTCATGGTTGGCAACCCTGACAGCGTAAGTGTGGACCAGCTCTTCATTGATTTGTTGTAAGTCATTGTAGCAGTCTCTCATGTCTTTCCTGAACACAATTATGATTGGTACTTTCACTTTGTAACATTGTAAAGTAGCCTACAGAAAGAGCTGTTTGAGCCATGGATTTTGTTTTGTTTTATCTTATTTAATGAATAAAATAATCCAATATTCAGGCCCGCAGAGAGAAATCTCGGGCCCCTGGGCAATCGTTGCCGCGGGCCCACTCCACTCCCCCATCCCCCAAACGCAACGGCGCCGGCGCGGCGGTTGATGGTCTTAAACTTATTAATAGCACTTATCACACAATCTCAGAGTTTAAATACATTTTTAAGGCCATAAAGGACTTTTCTTTTATTTCGAAAGAGATCTGTTATTTAAAGATCTCTAGCTTTTTAAATAAGAAGCTAGTTAGAGATATCTATATTTTCATACTTAAATACTGTTTATTGCTGTTAACACGTTCACTGTGGGTTACCGGACGCCCGGTAGTTCAAGCCCAAGCCAATGCCAAGCTTAGTCGAAGAAACCCACTAAGAGTTACTAGGTTATAATTTGATGGTAAAAAAAATAAATATCTGAATACAAAGGTTCAAGGCATGATTAAGGCACAATTTAAAAATTAAAACTAGTTACTAGTTTATTAATAGTTGGTCTCGAGTAAACAATTACATATATTCCCTTTAATGCATACATTAAGCAATTTTAGGTGAAAAAGGTTACACGTTCAATAATCTGTATATGGATAAACAATTATTACTCATTCTCTACATAAAGTACAGTAAGGAGAATTGCATAACTTTATGAGTTACCTACTAAATTGCCTACTAAAATGAGTTAGCAGTTTGCGTAACTTTCATTTTCCTAAAAGTTTATTTTTCTCGCTTTCTTGTTTGCAAACTCTACAATAATTTCACTAAAGTCAATTTGCCGTGCTAGATCACTTTCCATAGCAAGTGTTGTAAGGCCACACAGTCTTTCTTGTCCCATTGTAGAACGATTAAAGTTTTTGATCCGTTTCAAACTACTGAAAACTCTTTCAGCCCCAGCAACTGTCACAGGTAATGTCAAAAAAATTCTTAACGCCACACAAACATTGGGGAAAAGACAATCAAGCTTCATTTCCTTTAATTTGTTTAGAAGGTCAAATGGTTTCAGTGCCGTGCTTCCTAAATTTGTTCGATGGATTGTTTTCAGATGGATTATTTCTTCTTTAATATCCTTTGATATATCTTCTGGAAAAGTAACTGAAAGTCGGTTGGAATCCTCAACTATTGTCTCTTCTGTAGATGAGAGGTATTGCCACAATATTTTAAAAATATCATTTAGCTCTCTTGCGGTTTTAAATCTATGGGTCAATCCAGCTATCACTGCGTCAATAATTGTATAAAAAACATTAATTCTAAAATCTCTTTCTTGCTTGGTTTCGTCCTCGTTTCCATCATCAGTTTTTTCTTCTTCACATTCTTCATCAAAGAAAATTTTCCTTTTTTTACGTCTTTGTTCATTCAGTGTCGTTTCTGTGTTTTTGTCTATAGCAGACATAGCTTGAGTAACAAGTTTAGTCTCCGTCAAAATTTTGTCAAATTTTTCTCTTAAATCCTTCAACTCTTGTAATAGGCTTTCAATGTTAGAAATCTCTACATCAAGGGTTGCATCTCTTTTCTGCAGTATTTTGTTAAAGTGATCGATTGGCAATAATATTTTGTACCGAACGGAACACATTAAAGTACAATTGAAAGATTGGAGGTATTTCTCAATTCCGTTAAGTTCTGATTTTGCGTCAGCGCTCAGATTTAGCTCTGTGCATCTGGAAACAGCTCGTTTGACTCCAGGAAGATTTTGGGCTAGTGGTTTCACTGCGTCAACCCTAGCTGACCACCGTGTTTCAGACAGGTTATGGAGAGAACAATTAATTTCTTCTTCCAGAATTTTCCACCTGGTAGGAGATTTCGAAAAAAAATTGTACAAACGCTGCAGTATTCCAAAAAATGTCACTGCTTCTGTGCAGCATTCAGCAGCATTGGCACCACACAAATTAAGGCTGTGAGCGGCACAGTTTGAAAACAGAGCATATGGATTCTTTTGAAGTATCAGTGCCTGTACTCCTTTGTAAATGCCAGCCATGTTTGCGCCATTGTCAAAACCTTGACCTCGACAATCGTTTAAGGGAATCCCATGGTTGGCTAGTTCCTTTAATATCGCATCTGCAATGTCTTGGCCTGTTTTTTCACACAAACTGACATAACTAAGAAATCTTTCTGAAATTTTGAAACCGTCTTCATTTTCAAAAATGTATCTTAACACAAATGTAATCTGCTCTTCGTGAGAAACATCAGGGGTTGCATCAACTAAAATTGAGTAGTATTTGGCTTTTTCCCTTTCAGCCAAAATAACATTTACTACTTTATTGGCACATGTTTCTATAAACTCATTTTGGATTTGCCATGATAGATAATGTGCTTGAATTCTTTTTCCATCTTTTTGACACTCCCTCACTTTTGTTACGTGTTCATGCAGAACCGGGTCATACACGGAAAGTAGTTCAATGATCCCTAAAAAGTTTCCATTTTGCGGGTCACTGATTTTTGACGATGATCCTCTCAAGGGCAAACCTCGTTCAGCCAAAAACAAAATAACTGCTAAAATACGTTCTAACAGTTTATTCCAATATTTTGTTCTTTCTTTCAATTCTTTGTCTAATTGAGAACCAATGTCTGAACCTTCTTTTAGTCGCCTCTCTAGTTTTCTCCACTCTAAATAGCAAGTTTTATGGTGTTCACTCACTTCATGGTTAGGTAGCTTGTCATATAACTTTCTCCAAGTATTTAATATTAGTTCATACAAGTTTTTATGTGGGTGGATGCCGGACGGACACACACAGTAAGGATAGATAAGATGCAAAATTCATATTCTTTTTTTTTTTTGCTTGTATTTTGGTTAAAATATGGACACATGTTGAAATAAACAATGATAAAACACACAATTTTCGTGCATTAATGAGTTGATGAATAAGAATTTTTAACCCATCCACTACAAAAAAACTAAACATGCAATCAAAATATGAGACATTAACTTACAAATCAGTGGGAGGAAATCTGACTATTAAACAAATATCACTAATATAGTTTTAATATAGCTTGTACACATTGTAACATAATTTTTAGTGTTATTTTTCAACCTTGTCTACTTCACACCATTTGCAAACAACAAAAGAAACACTGTCTAAAGCAAATTATTCAAGACTGACATTTGCTGCAACAGTCTGAGGTCCTCCGCCTGAACGATGAGGCTGCGGATTATACTCGAAGAGTCAGCCACGCCGGCAGCCATCTTGGTAGCATTTTGCTGTATGTCCGCAACTCGATTGAGGCATTCGGCAATTTGAGAGAATACTGCAGGAAACTCTGCAATTGTCTGAAAAAGATTTTTGAGTAATTATAAATGTGAATTGATTGGTGGATTCTATACTCACAACACAGTGTGATACAGATCTTATGGGTGTCAAGCTATCAACAATTACTGAAAACATAATACTAATATTCTGTAATTTCAATTTGTGTTGCATAAACCATCCTTGTGAAGCCATTTGACTTATTTCTATGATAAAAAGTGTTTTACTGTTCCTGATATTTTTAGGATGGCAAGCTGAGTCTGTCGCTGACCAAGTCATTTGAAATACGTAGCTAATAGACACTGAGTACCACTCTGTGAGCGTGGAGTGTAATATTCTAGTCTATTTTGGTAAGGATTTTGTTTTATGCACACAGGAATATTATTATTTTTTAATGTTAAGAATGAAATGTTAAAGATGCAAGATGAAGTATACAGAAGAAAAATGTCCATAATTAAGCTACAAATGGACAGGTACTGAAATTCAATAAAATTTTTGAGTAAATAAACTACTTATCTTTGGGCTGGATTACATTTGATTAGGGATTTTCTTGGGGTGGGACTTTTTTCAACTATTTTGTCTCGAAAGCGAGTAAAAATGATTAAGTCCCCACAATCTTGGATGTTCACAAATTCTTCACAAATGTGGGAGATGATCACGACATCGCCACTAAGATACCATGCGATAAAGGGATGCAGTAAGGATGGTTAAGCAATGACGCATTACAGCTATGACGACAGAAAATACAAATTGATGTTAATAGTTGTTTGCAAGCGATTATATTCAAGATTTTAAATAAAAATGTTTTTCCTAATTGCACAGAAAAAAAATTCCCGATCCAATCCTGTCCGAAAATTAGGAAGAACAATGAAATCTTAAAATCACAACTAAAATTACATTCCTCGCCATCCCTAATTAATGTCAAAATTGTTTCAACTTTACAATTTATCTATAGATCCAACCGTCATGAAGAATATCAACATTAAAATTATTTCCTCTCCCAATTCTGGCAAGCTGTGTAAAATAGCTTGCTACTCAGTGATTCTCATCTTTACCTTGAGACTGTCCAGATTAAGGTAGGTGGCCAGTGATTGTACAATGTCTACAGCTACACCCATATGTTCAGTAGCAACAACTACAGTGCCTTTCTTGATGCTCAGCTGTAACACAGAGTTGTCTCGGAGACATCGCATCGTCACAATCCATTCGCTCTCACCTCCGTTACTACTGATCTCCTCGGGTAGGAGAAAGTTCTGGTTTAACCACATCTCCACCTATAATAGTGATCGTATTTAAATCTTGTTTGAGCTTTAGAAAAGTCAAAAATAATTAATAAATGGTGCTGGGTAAAGTACCAGCTGTTCTTATTCAGTAGCAAAGTTGTCAATCAAGGACAGCTGCGTCCAGTTTTGAACAATCAAAAAGCTACTGACTTTTCTCAGAATCAACCCAGCAACGATGTGATTATTAGGTGATTATCATAGTGATTGTGTAACTGCATCAAAATAATACTACTTATGTAGTACCTCTGTACATATCAACCCAATAATAAACATACACACACACAGGTATCAAAGAAATCTCATTACGGTTTTTTAAGCCTTAAAACAAATTCCAATCACATGAAATTTGAGGTTGTGGCGTGAAAATAAAAACAAAATGTTTCAAATTCAATCCACAACAGCAACATTGTATAGTACGTACCCGCTGTATTCTCTCATTGAGTTTGAAAGTGACGTAGCTAGAGGGGGGTGCGGGCGTAGGGGACGCTTTCACAATCGTGTACATAGAGAAACACGGCAACTGCCGTGTCAGCTCAAACACATGGAACTGTTCACTGGAATGTGACTGTCCTACAAATACCTGTAAACACCACCGATGAGTATTAATTTTTGTAGTTTGTGGTTTTAAAGCTGTGAATTATAACCTTTTGAAAAAACCTACAGAGTTCCCGTTCATCCAAATCTTGATAATCTGAAAGTTTAGCTAATGCGAACCACCTGTTGAGGAAAGGGTTATTTAATAAAAAACAAATCTATGTGTTCTGAAATATTAACCAGGGTGTCCAGCCAACTGGTAAATTGTACATGAATTTTTATGACTGGGAATATGTCTGTGATGAATAATTAACTGTACTTGAATATTGAATGTAACCAGTAAATTAGGAATAATCACCAATATAACCTATTGTCGAGTATTCATTAATTAATGGTGTTTTGTTGGTTCTCTTTGAAGTTCTTGTTTAGTAAGAAGAAAGTATTTGCTGGATATGACTACAGTTGTTACAATTGGGAAATAAACATATTTGTCCTGCTTGTAGGAAATTATCACAATGTCGCCCTGATTGCATGAAATTATCACAATGTTGCCCTGATTCTGCAAAACTATCACAAAGTTAAGTGATCATGGTGTTGTGATTGCAGGAGCCATTGACAGTCATTCAAACACATTGTTTTTTTTTATTGTGCAATTTTATTGCATTTATGGCTAATCCCAACAGGATCTGGTCCCACTTGGTACAGATAAGCGGGTATATGTGTAATTGAACTGGTGGAGGGACATTATCACACTCAATATGTAGCTTAACAATTGAGTGATTAATTAGTTATTATTTGTTTATCATAAATAATTCTAAATAAGAGTTTGATTCAAACAAAGATGTGTTTAACATTTTAACGACTTACCCGTATATGTATGTCAAGGGCAGTATCTTTAGGCGGAACCAGAGGCACACAGACCGTTGACTTGACCTGATCACTGCGAGGGTGTATTACCAACGTTTCCCCCTCGAATATCCCTTCCGCAAACACCGTCACAGCTCGTATCACAGTCTCGTTGTTGGTAGATAGCAGCACTTGTATGTGACCCATCTGGAAGTACAAACTACAAAGTTGACAAAACTCTGGTGTACAATGAGATAATTACATGTTGTTTAAGTATTTAGATCAGCTGCAATGTACCGGTAACTCTTTCTGGAAGTCTATAGCCAATTAATCTAACTCTTTCTAATCGTGGGAAAAAGGGGAAGAAATGCCATACGTATCAAAAATTACGAAGCACAGAAATGCCCCTGCCATGGATGACCAACCGAAGTGGTGTGATTTGGGAAAAAGGGGAAGAAATGCCCTGCGTATCGAAAATGTCGAAGCACAGAAATACCCCTGTCAAGGGATGAGAAATGAGGGATTAGGGGTTTAAGGATGGTATACTTTGAATAAACAATCAGTAGATTTATTACATGAGATAAGTACCAAGTGTTATGTAAAGTATAAAATTTTGTACAGAGTAAAAAATAACTTAGGAGGATTGAAAGTTTAAAAAGGAAAAGTATAAATAATCAGTACATATAGTCTTACAACCTACCAATACTTTAGAGGAAACATTAAGAATATAGATTAAAGGTCAATTCACACACATCAGTCCAGTCACAGACGTCACAGTTCAGTCTTAGTTACAGTTGAGTCAGTCTTCCGTTACTTTATTACAGTGACGTCAAGGTCAAGATTTATTTTATCAAACCACAATATTCGGTTTTATTCAGCATTGCCTCCATAATTGATTTATGAAAAATTAAATTTTTTTATGTACCATATGTGTCAATCCTATTATTGTCTCGGGAGACTAGTTTTAAAACATCAGTTACATTTTCAAGCCAAAGATCAATATAAAAAATTAATTGTTCCTAATTTATTTGTCCTAAGGTCACCTGACAAAGTGCGCTTTCTTGCACTGATTGTAGGATGCAAATTAGCCAATTCTTGCATATACTTACATTGCCACACCCATTTTACTTTGCCACACTCCAGTATTCCAAACCAAACAACACAAAATAGTGTGCTTGTATTAGGCACAAAATGTGGGTACGCTTGAAAATAAGTTGGTAACACTTAAAGATACTACGACTGCGATCAGCTGATGAAGTGTTTCCCAGCCTTTGACAATTGGTACTAAGATGTAACCTGTTGTTTCGTGTTGTCATTCAATGCTTGGATTTATTTTAATAATCATTTAGTATAGGCTACAAATTAATGCTGAAATTCATCTACAACACTACCTAAAATAAACATAAAACCTCATGCTTGTAGGAATATGAATATGTTACTTATTTGTAACCACCCTACCTACTTATTTTTAATAAAAATTAACTTACTGGAGTCTCTTTTGTTCCAGTGCTAACTGCGATCTCTGTCAGAAGCTGTGTGTTAGCCTGTAGAACAATAGAGGATTTATTTATTAAAAATATCAAGTTCAAAAGTAACATTAAAATATCCCTGCCACAGCAAAACTGCAGACCAAGCGAATTTCCATTTACCTAGCTGGATTTTTACTAAAATGTTCCCTACTATTCTAATATTTGTACACATTATTGATACCAAAGTACCCTTTTCTAATCAATTTGATTTCACGTCTAGTTTCAACATTTATTCCATAGTCATGTTGTTTCTATCATAACAAATGCAATAAACAATTTTACTAAATAAATAAATACAAAAAATCTGACTTCATTATAAGTATGAATCTAAATTTCTTCTCTTTTAAATGGTTTGTACGATAATTTTCTTTTTCAATATAACTGTAGGATTCTTTTATAATGTTCATTGTGTTTAGTAAATTAAATTTTCTGGGTGTCGTAATATATACAGAGAGAGGCAAATGATCTGACGGTTTTCTTTGCCGCCTTGTTGAGTGAGTGAGTGGTGGGAATAGGGGCGTTCTAGAGCCTACGTATGGACATTTTTAGTAGCCATGGATCTGTGGACGGCTGAGCACCATGCGTTTGTTGTAGAAGTGGGTTGTTGTAGAGGTGGTTTTCTTATAGTGGCAATTATACTGTGTAGCTGTTCATCAGCGGCAGTTCCGTAGACTTTTCAATGTTGGTCCAAAGAGGAAAAGTCCCAACTCGAAACAAAATTTTTCTGTGTTCAGAGCTACTAGTTCAGCATTGAAACAAAAAAATAACACAGGTCGTCCAAGGTCAGCCTGAACGCCAGAGAACTTTATGCAAAGCGCAACTCAACTTCAGAACTAGTGATCGATTTGCTTACGGATGATATAATTGTCATTATGAGCGACGAAACAAACTTTCAATCACACAACACAGTCTTCCCTACTCTCTTGACGTTCTCTGCCGTTCGAGCTGACACTGGACGGCCTCTTGATTTTTGTTTCAATGCTAAGCTAGTTGCTCTAAAGTTACCCACCCACAGCAAAATGATGTTTTGATTTGGGACTTTTCCTCTTTGACACACATTGAAATGTCTACGGAACTGCTGCTGATGAACAGCTACACACTAATTGCCACTATAAAAACAACTTCCACAACAAACACATGGTGCTCAGCCGTTCACAGCTCCATGGCTACTAACATGTCCATATGTAGGCTCTGAAATGTCCCTACTCCTGCCACCCTCCACCACTCACTAGCATGACAGTGTGGTTAAGAAAACCGTCAGATCAATTTGCCGCTCCCTGTATGTACAGTATATGAATTTGAAAGGATGGTGTTTTTGGTCTCTGGGGAAATCAAAAGGAAAAAGTATTGGTCCTGGGTCCAGGTCTTACCATGAGACCTACGGTAATAGCTTATTCCCTATATGGGAAATTTGCTAAAAGCAAATGAGTTTAGTATCCCAGCCAGCATATTGTCAATTATCAAACAAGAGAGTTTAGTTTGTCAACAGATTTCCGTTTTCAAATACAGTCCATAACTCCCAATGTTTCAACTATCAACAGTAAAATAAACAAAAATAGGATTTGAATCTGGTCCTAGTCAGGTTAGTTGAGCAGCTCATGAGGAGGAGTTCGCCAGTCATTGGCAGAGCTTGTTGGAAACACATCTAAACAGCGGACGACTGAAGTAGAAATTGAAAAAAGGTTGATTCTTTGAAGATATTTTTGGTCCCTAACATGAGGTTTTTTTGTTAAAAAGATAGTAATTTTCAGTGTTGTTTTTAGTCAGAGAATTAAAGTTTTTTACGTCAAAGGTGAGATACACTCACGGGAATGCCATTTTGTCCACCCTCTCCAGAGTAATTCTTCAGCTCCAACAACAACGTCTGCTTCCTGGAGAATAACTCTCTAACAGCATCAGACTGCACTGAGCCTTCCTTGTTGATGCTTGTATGATCGTATCCTCGCACTGCGAAAATGATTGAAAACATCAGAAATTTACTTAATTATATCCACTCGTTTAAAGGTCATGGATAATAGAGAATATTCTTCATTGGGATATACATTGGCTGGTTACACAGTGGTGACACAATGTCTACTTCTTCATTGATACGTGATCCTGGATAAAGAACCTACTGCAGTCCATATAAAAGGCATCATCTCATTAATTCAACACTTATTCTTCACTTGTCTTCACCTATAGATAAATACACTTGTGAGTTGGCTTCGTACAAATCTAATATGATCTATAGCTAGTGTTAAATATGGTATTAAGAGGTAAAATTGTGAGAAATACCTTTAGATCCTAAAACTGAAGATCCATTAGGGTTTTGGTAGAACAGGAACAAGATGAGCAGAGAAGCGATGGCTCTGGCCAGAGTGACGAGAATCGAAGGACCACAGATGAAAGATGATGTTGAGAAATGACTATTGTTGTGTAGTATGTAATTCTTCACTGATTTAAATTAAAACTCTTCTTCATTAATAAAAAGAAAGCAATTCACTTCTCATGAATATTCTGGACTGTACACGAAAATTTACAACACATTTACTTTAAATAAAAATATCTTCTTGGATCCTAGCTTGACACTTGGTACTATAAATTTGGAATCCATATTTAAATGAGAAATGATGAAATAATGCACTTGGAGCGGTAAGAGAGAAAGAGAGATTAAAATATTTAATATGAACTAAACCAAAAGGTAAGCACTGTGTACTGTGAGAGAGGTGAGTCTAAACTGAACTGACTAGTACGAAGTGCTGTAGTGAACTTTGGACAGTGATGTCATCATATCAGCTGTTGTATCCTTTCAATAACTGAACTAAAAACTTGACTTGAATGTTAATACTACTTGATTAATTGTTTATATTTGACTGTATATAGTTCATATGTTATTAAATAAATATTTTATTAAATGTCCTTAGTTGAATTACTAAATATTTAACATACCGGCCCCCCCTGAACCCCTGGGTTCTGAAAACAACACAAAAAATGAGAAAATCAATAAAAAAGGGGGGTGGTAACTCCTCTTCACTATTCCATAGGAAGGACAGACACCTTTGTCACAGGACGAGAGAGGTGTCCACTTGCGGTCTTCAGGTGCACGACCCGTACTATTCCATCAGTACCAGGTGAAACGGAGAGAACTCGTCCAAGCTTCCAGGAGAGTGGAGGCAAGTTGTCTTCATGAATGACAACCAAGTCATTGACTTCAATATTCTTCTTGGGGTTGACCCATTTATTTCTCTCTTGAAGAGTGTACAGATACTCTTTCTGCCAGCGAGCCCAGATATGTTGACTGAACTGTTGGACTAACTGCCAGCGTTTTAATCGGTTGATAGGAATGCTACGCAAGTCAGGTTCAAGAGGTGTCATAAGAGGACCACCTACTAAAAAATGACCTGGCGTCAAAGCTTCTAGGTCCGAGGGATCAGAAGAAAGAGGAGTTATAGGCCTAGAGTTCATCATTCCTTCAATACGGGTGATTAAAGTCGAAAACTCTTCCAGTGACAGGGTCTGTTGTCCAATGACTCTTATTAGGTGAAATTTCACACTTTTGACGGCCCTCTCCCAAAGGCCTCCCTGATGAGGTGCATGTGGAGGTAAGAAGTGAAATTTAATATTGAAATTCTCAGCGTAGCATTGTACTGTGGAATCCTTGATTAAATTTTCAAAGTTGCGTCTGAGTTTTTCGGATGCACCTGTGAAATTTGTAGCATTGTCACAGTGAATATCTGAAACGATTCCTCGTCTGGAGACAAATCTGGTAAGAGCGGCTAAATAGGCATCCGCTGTTAGGTCGGTTACTACTTCTATGTGTACCGCCTTAGTAGAGAAGCAAATAAATATACAAATATAAACCTTGATAGGTTGAACTCGTCTTAGTAGATGTTGCTTCACAAAGAAGTGTCCTGCATAATCTACACCAGATATGGAAAATGGCCTTGAAGGTGTAACTCGATTCATAGGTAATTCCCCCATGAGTGGAGAAGAATGAGGAGGTTTACATCTGAAACATTTTATGCATTTAAAGATCCTAGATCTTATTAAGCTTCTAGCACTGAGAATCCAGTACTTGTTTGCCAGCATAGCCTGAGTTAGAGTTGGACCAGAGTGCAAATATAAGACATGATGGTGGTCAATCAAAATATCAACTAACCTATGACCTTTAGGTAGCAAGACGGGGTGTTTGTGATCTTCAGAGATATCAGCCTTGTTTATTCTTCCCCCTACTCGAATGAGGCCATCTTTATCCAGATAAGGAGCTAGGCGTCTAATGCGTACAGAGCAAGGTTTATTGGATTTCAAACATGAGATTTCTTCAGAAAAATATTCTCGTTGAACCAATTTACAAATCAGGTTATGAGCCTCTTTTATCTCCTGAGAAGTTAAATTCCCAATTTGTTTAACTTTATTTCTGGTGTTATGAATGAAGCGCAGCAGGTATGCGGAAACATGAAGTAGTGTTGTCCAAGATGAGAAGCGAGTGAGGAGAGAAAATGGTTCATCCGGAACAGCAGAGAGAGTGTTAACTGTGAGAATCTTAGTTTCAGGGATAGACTCTTCAGGTAAAGATTTACAGACAGACTTTGGCCAATTTTCTTCAGAGTTACACAACCAGACAGGTCCATTCCACCAAAGTGTGTGGTTAATCAAATCTTGTGGGGCGGTACCCCTTGACCCAACATCCGCTGGATTTTCTAGTGATGAAATATGTTGCCAAAATGAAGGTGGGATGTTTTCCTGTATTTCTGCAACTCGATTTGACACATAAACCTTGAGTCGATAAGAGGGCATGCCAATCCATGAAAGCACGATTGTGGAATCGCACCAAGCTGTGTATGAACTAATCTTGCAGTGAGGTGAGAGAAGTTGTATACAGTAATTTAGGAGCTTAGACATCAGGTGTGCTCCGCAGAGCTCCAAGCGAGGTATGGAAATACGCTTCAGAGGTGCGACTCTTGACTTCGCTATCAGAAGATAAGTGGATATAATTCCTTGTGAATTTACAACTCTCAGGTAAACACAACTACAATATCCTGCTTCACTTGCATCAGAAAAAGCATGTAGCTGAATATCTTTAGCTGAAGAAAGTCCCACGTAGCGAGGTATCTTGAGCATTTCAATATATGGAAGTTCATTGGCGAACTTGTTCCAAACTGATATAACGCTGTCGTCTAGGGGTTCATCCCAATCGAGACCAAGTGTCCATAAGTATTGCATGAAGGATTTGGACCAGAAGGTTACAGGAGTTAACCATCCTGACGGGTCATAGATCTGTGATATCACACTTAAAACAATTCTTTTTGTAGGAGTTTCCTTAATATTTTGAGTTCCTACAGAATAAGAAAAAACATCTTCATTAGGAATCCATTTAAGTCCTAAAACACTATGAACTGGTTGTTCGGGAGCTCGAAAACCAATAGGTTTTTCTTTGTGATCTTCAGGGATCGACTGTAAGAGTAATGGATTATTCGAAGACCATTTTCTTAACTCGAAACCTCCTTTTTTGAGTAACTGAACCACATCATTTTTCAACAAAAGAGCGTTTTCTACGCAATTACTACCCAATAGGGCGTCATCGACATAAATCTGATCCTTTAGAGCAGTTGCGGCTAGAGGATGATTTTTTCCTTCATCAATAATGAGTTGTTGAATGACACGATTTGCCAAGTAGGGCGATGATGTGAGCCCATAAGTGACAGTCGCTAGCTGATAGATTTGAAGAGGCATTTTATCATTCTCTCTCCAGAAAATAAGTTGAAATATCTGATCAGATTCCTTTACAAGGACTTGTCGAAACATCTGCTTGATGTCGCATGAAAAAACAACCGCATGTCGGCGAAAGTTGAGAATGATGTCACATATGTTGTTGTGGAGTTTTGGTCCTTGATGAAGAATACTGTTGAGAGACAGAGATGTTGATGTAGGTGCTGATGCGTTGAATACTACCCTTAATTTTCCATCTTTAAAAATTCCATGATGTGGAAGGTAGTAATGAGGATTATTTTTAAGACGTGGTGACTGACAGAGTGTCATATGTCCCGAAGACAAGTAATCTCTCATAAAATCAACATAAGTTTCCTTGAAATCAGGATTAGAACGAAATTTATTCTCCAGAGACCAGAATAGGGATTTTGCCATTTTGCTCGAGTTGCCTAATGTTGACGGATCGTCTGAGAAAGGCAAAGAGACAATATATCTTCCTTCAGGAGTGCGAGAGTGCGTAGATACAAAATGTTTTTCACATTTTTCTTCGGCTAAGGATTGCTTGCTTGTAAGAGGGGGTTCCTCTACAGCCCAAAACTGTTGGATAGAGGTGTGAAGATCCAAACTATTGGTGGTTAAGAGTGTGACTAATCCATGAAATGAATTTTTGCAAGTTGAGGCAACAGGGGTCGATCCTAAGAGCGCATATCCAAAAATGGTGTCAATTGCTACAGGCATATTCTCACCAAGTGACAAAAACTGGCCTTTCACAGAGGAGGCAAAAAGGTCAGCTCCAATTAGAACATCAATAGGAGCGGGTTTATCAAAAGTAGGATCGGCTAACATTAAATGTTGCATCTGTGAGCGAACTTCAGGAGTGATCTTAGCTCGAGGTAAATCTGGAGTGATATTATCCAAAATGAAGACAGGGTGAGAGCTTGCCAATACATATCCACTAAGGGACTGGAGAGTGACATGAGTTAACCCTTTTGTTTTCACCTGAGCAGACGAGATGCCATTAATAAGCGTTTTATTAGCATGAGAGCGCTTAATCCCTAAAGACTGAGCACATCTTTGAGTAATGAAGGTAGACTGAGCAGCAGAATCTAAAACTCCCCTACAAACTAGGGTCTTACCTTCGCTTGATTTTACCACAATTAAAGCAGTGGCAAGAAGAACTGTGTTCTCTGTATTTGTCAAACCAACAAAACCAGATTCATTTTTATTTGAGTCAGAACTTGGAGCTCGTTTGTCTGTGTTACCTTTAGACACATTAGGAGAGGGATTATTTTCAGAATCCATAAAATGCAAAAGAGAGTGATGTTTTCTTTTACACGTAGAACATGTACGCCATGAATTGCATTCCTTTACCTTATGCTTATCGCCAAGACAGTTGGTGCACAAATTTTTGCCTTTAACAAAATTATACATTTCTTGTGAAGTCAATTTAAGAAAACCTTTGCATTGATAGATTTTGTGATCTGCACCTGCGCAAAATGTACAAACAGTGCGAGGAGTTGCAATAAGCGCCGATTTATTTGAGCGCTGAGGGGGTTTTACTTGAGTGTGGTGGCCTAAGGTACCCTTAAGAGATGATCCCACATTAGTAAGATTAGCTGCTTCAAGATTTACACAGTGAGACTCAATGTACTTGGTTAACTCATCTAACTTAGGAGTTACAGAGTTATCACTTCGACTCTGTTCAAAATGATGGCGAAAATCAGAATCAAATTTTCTTAACAAGTGAGAGGTCAAAATTAAATTTTCCTGAGAAATTTCTTCATCTAGAGCTTTAAGTGCTTCAATGTTTTCATTTAAAACAGACAAAAACCTTCTAAGTTGCTTCACTGAGGGATTGTGAAGAACTGGTAAGTCTAACACATTGTTGACATGAAGAGAGATTAGTAATCTTGTATTCTGATACCTTTTAAGTAGAGATTCCCATGCAATAAAATAATTAGCATTAGTCATAGGGATGTTTTTAACAACTGAAAGTGCCTCTCCCTCAAGACAGCTTAACAAATAACTCATTTTTTCAACACCAGAAATACAATCATTTTTATGAATAGTATTTTCAAACAAATTTTTGAACGCCATCCACTTTTCATGTTGACCTGAGAAGGTACCAAGTTGAAGTTTAGGAAGCTGTACACTAACCTTAGTTGTAGCTACTTGGCTGATAGCTGCATTGGAATCATCCAGGTTTGGCTGGCTCGACTGGTTAGAGCTTGGGGAAGGTATCAAGTTCACACACAAAGAGTGAATAGACACATAGAGATCACTTATTTCATCTTGTAATGTTGAAATTGTAGTGATATTTTCACTTTCATCTAATTCCTCAGGTAAAGGCACAGTGCCGAACAACTTATTCACTAATTTGTCAAAATCATTATTTTTGGCTGTAGCGGTGGAATCCAAAAGAGTAAGCTTTGTTATAAGTTGAGGAGTGATAGGTTCCTTTTCGATAGCAAGCACTTTTGCTTCAATTGACTTAAGCCTGGCTAGCACAAGCTCAGATTGCTTCACAAAAGTTGAGAACCTCATTTTGAATAAGTCTTAAATTCAATAAAATTCCAAAATAAAAATAAATGCAGATTAAAATAAGTTTATAATGAGCAAAACTTATTTAAAGACAGCCAGGATTCATTGTATTAAATATTAATATTAGTCAACTTGAAATCAGAGAGAAATATTCAGCCATAGTATAGGCCTATAAAAAGTTTAAGTCCCAGAAAATATCTACCTGCAATTATTTCCAGATAATAAATTTGAAATTCAATAAAACATGTTATTTCAAACACAAACTGTAATTAAATGTTCAATCCGTATTAATAAACATTCTTCTGTCACTTTAATTTAAAAGTGTAAGCAAACAATTGAGGTTATGAAAACATAAACAAAGTCTTGCATAATGACATTTAAGTTTTCATTTCTATCCATCAGCAGCGCTAGTGTTGATCAGCTGTGAAGTTGGTATGACTTCCATGATTTTCTGAATATTCAGCAACAAGAGAGAAACTTGTTTCACATTACAGGGGGGAGAGAGGGGGGCAGACAGGATGCAGCCCGATAATGCACAATAGAGAATAGACAAACTATGCATGAAAATACAGGAGTTGTAGACAGTACAGTCTGAGAACAAAATTTTCTGTCTGGGACAACAAAACTTTATGTGTTATTTCACAAATTACTGCAACAATTTAATAAATTGATAATAATGTGATCAAAAATATTTAATCCTCTTGTTAATGATACTTAATGTTGATGACAGATTTATTCAATTAATTTATTCAGTTCAAATAAATACAAAACTTAATAGTCACAGTAGATTATTTTCCATAGGCTGGGAAACTTCCGGCTCGAAGGACCATGTTAAATATGGTATTAAGAGGTAAAATTGTGAGAAATACCTTTAGATCCTAAAACTGAAGATCCATTAGGGTTTTGGTAGAACAGGAACAAGATGAGCAGAGAAGCGATGGCTCTGGCCAGAGTGACGAGAATCGAAGGACCACAGATGAAAGATGATGTTGAGAAATGACTATTGTTGTGTAGTATGTAATTCTTCACTGATTTAAATTAAAACTCTTCTTCATTAATAAAAAGAAAGCAATTCACTACTCATGAATATTCTGGACTGTACACGAAAATTTACAACACATTTACTTTAAATAAAAATATCTTCTTGGATCCTAGCTTGACACTTGGTACTATAAATTTGGAATCCATATTTAAATGAGAAATGATGAAATAATGCACTTGGAGCGGTAAGAGAGAAAGAGAGATTAAAATATTTAATATGAACTAAACCAAAAGGTAAGCACTGTGTACTGTGAGAGAGGTGAGTCTAAACTGAACTGACTAGTACGAAGTGCTGTAGTGAACTTTGGACAGTGATGTCATCATATCAGCTGTTGTATCCTTTCAATAACTGAACTAAAAACTTGACTTGAATGTTAATACTACTTGATTAATTGTTTATATTTGACTGTATATAGTTCATATGTTATTAAATAAATATTTTATTAAATGTCCTTAGTTGAATTACTAAATATTTAACAGCTAGATAGTAAGATCTAACCTTCTCCGCCTGTGGAGCAGGCTAGTATCTGAGGATGCCCACTCTGCGTGTAGTCGCCTCGTAGTAGTCCTGCGATCGGTTGGTTGAGTACGTCACGAAACACGACCTCTCCAGTCCGACTGTTGCGAGCGTCCACCTTCCCATTGGACCATCCCGTAATCAGCTCCTCCACTCCGTCACCATCAATGTCGTAAGACGCGAGACTCTCCGCATTGCTCTTGGACTGCACAGATAAATAACAAATTCTTTATTTTACCGGCTGTTAGACCAAAGGTTCTCTTTTACCCCAGGAGAGGACTGCAAATTTAAATATACAAACAATAGTTACATAGATAGAAAAAGGTTAGCAAAAATTATTTTACTGAAGAGTAAAAGACTTTAAAATAAAACCACATGTTCACACCTTTATCCCTAAAGTATTTAAATACTGTGAAAATGTTTGTAAATTATTCTTTAACTTAGTTTGGAGCTCAGAGCAATAGGATGAAGATTAAATTACGGAGTAAGGAGTGGATGTACACAGAGAAATAAGTTCCAGCAGGAAGTTGATATCGCACCATCTAATTGTCTACTAATTGTGAACTTTTTAATTGCCACATACTGCCTGAAAATGTTTGTTGGGTATGCTATTTGTGTACCAATTTATTCTCCTTTGCTGAATAGTATACTGCATTGCATAGCATGGTTTTTTTGTATAGACAGTAATTCCTTTCTAAAGATTAATTAATTGTTGTAGTGTTTAATTGAGAGGATTAGTTATGTTAGTTAGTTAGTTTCCATTCTCTCACATTGTAACAAAGGATTTGGTTTTTTTTTTACAATGTTCAATCCTCACCATCAATAACTAGACTTAAATACAGGTACAGTACATACCCATTAAGACTATCCAAAAGTTAAGACAGATTTAATTAATTTTCACTCATTAACCTTGTGCAAACAAACATATTGTCAAAATTTTTTATTAAAAGTTCATGATTTCATTTTTTTCACATGATGGTTAAAAACAATAGCTACTCACAATACAAGTTAGCACATTACTATCAAATTGGTGGTCTCCACAAAAAAAAAAAAAATAAAAATGAAATGAAATGAAGAACAACACAAACTTTACCTAGTGTAAAAGTTAGGATATTATTAGGATTACAGGAACAAAGCACAGATGGTGTGTTAGTAAACCTAACATGCTTGCATCAATATGAACAATACAAGCAATGTGTATAGCAATAAATAATGTAACATACTATTTCGTTCTTACCAAAAAGGTGAAGAAGTAAAAGCTAATGAGTTCAACTATGTCCAATACACAGCATTTGACTCACTTTTACTCTCCAAGCTCTTTGAAGTTTCTCGTAAACCCCAACTGTACCGTTAGCCAAAGCATAGCCGAACTTGTGGTTTTGAAAACCAACGAGCGCAGTGATAGCTTCAGTCTCTGTCAGCTCTGAAACGATGGCGTCTTCTTTGAAAATGCGAAGCTCAAAGTCATCTGACCCAACAACCAGCTGTAAAGATAAATTAAAACTCAATTTTAAACTTTAAAAAAATTGAATTAGATACACAGTAAAACGTACATGTCAGCTACAGAGATGCAAATGACGCGATTATTTTTGTTCACAAATTATGATAGTAAACTGTGAGATGCCTCGTTTTGCCATACACACAAACTACCTATGAACCTATACGCACAACCGGCCCTTCTTAAAAAACTCCCTTTTATAAACATGCCAAATAAAATTATCTAAGTATCAAACGCTAAGAGGGAAAATATAATTTAGACAGTAGACCTTTCTGTGAGGACTTATTAAAAAACAACATCTGTCTATAATATTGATTAGTTACAGCTTTGACTGTTAATACAACAACTTCTGTATCCAATAGTCAATGGTTACAGCTATGGTCTGTGTAAATGTTCCTGGTGTCCAAAGTGAATGTTTAAGAACAAGTGTTAAGTAAAAAAAAATTACAAAAACAACAAAACAGACATCTGGTCTCCTTATCAGGACACTACTAGACACCATTTTGGTGTAGTTAACACTAGAAATATCCTCCGTTTACCTTCAGCAAATTTCTTCATTTTTCTTTCATCTGGCTTACACAAAATCTTAAGGCACCACTAACAATTTGTATTTAATTCATTTGACAGTAGCCTCGGATTGTTAAATTAAGCTCATCATTAATGAATGCTACCCCACATTAACCCAATTTCGAGAGGCATACCTCATTTTGGCCGTCATGATCAAAGTCGACCAACGCAAGGGATCGCACATTGTCTCCAGTGACTGTCCAAAATGGATCGTTCCCTTGCCAATCGAATCCCTGGATGGAGCAGTTGCCTCCCACTAGGGCCAATGGGATTCCAAGGGAGCCCAAGTGACCTATTGTGATTGTGTTGACTCCGTCAGCAACCTGTACACATTGCAATTCAGAAGACATCAATCTTCCCTAACAGAATTTCACAGTTTGTTGTAGGAATAAATAAACTCCCTAAACATATTTAGGGAACATATTTACCTTATTATAAGGTAGCCTCTACTTAAAAATGTGCATGAAAACCAAATACACTTGTAACAAAGAAAGACTTGTAGTTTTGGGTAAAGAAACCATGGTGTATTTATGTTAAACTAAAAAGAAATTCCTGCAATTAGGATTCCCTTGATTTTTTTTGTAAATGATTTAAATAGAAATTGAAGTGCTGCAACCTACTACTCCAAAGAAGAACAACCATATGTACTGTTTTTGTTTTTTATTTGAATTTTACCATATTACTGTACAAATATAAATGTTCATACACAATATAAACAATGCAATTTAAAACAAAACACCAAAAAAGCTTCAGAGTTCCTGTTTTGGAAGTAAAGATAAAGAATCAGGTGGAAAGAATGTTTTTTCAATATTTATGCAAGTCAAATTATTTAATGGTGAGTTTGTGGCTCAGTCGGTAGCGCGATGGACTGTGGATCCAGTGATGTGGTGAATGTTTAGAGTCCTTGTGTTGGTCACTAAATATTATCAGTACAGTTCACCTTTACTGTTTTGGCACACCCCTAGCTTTGTTGGATCTCTACTACACACAGGCCTGAAACCTATGTGGACACAAAAATTAAATGTTAAAAGAGGCTAAATACCTTATTTAAATTAAACTAATAAAATTTATAATCAGAGTAAAAGAGCCAGTAAAACCATACTAGATGGTTTAAGTAGAAATCCAAAACACTGACTCCAAAAAAACATTCATAAACTTAAATGACAAGCTAAAATTCAAAGCTGTTGGCCTCTTCAGTGTTAAGAGGTCCGTGAAGTTGGCGTACCCATATTAGCGTATCCACTTTTGTTCATACCAATCGTTAGTTCATTGTTAGTTCTCGATAGTTCCCAATTTTTTTCGTTAGTTCTCAAAAAATAAAAAAGTTATAGCCGATAATAAGTGGGTACGCTAACTTCACACTTCCGGTTTCTAGCTGACGCCGTTTTCTAAAGAGAAATGTTTACATCTATATATCAATCGTTAGTTCTTCGTTAGTCCTCGATAGTTCTCCGATATTTTCGTTAGTTCTCAAAATATAAAAAAGTTACGAGGCATACAAAGTGGGTACCCTAACTTCACAATTATAGAATTTCCAGCAGGCACCGTTTTCTGATGAAAAATGCGTATATCTATATACCAATCGTTAGTTCTTCGTTAGTTCTCAATAGTTCTCTAATATTTACGTTAGTTCTCGAAAAATAAAAAAGTTACGAGGCATACAAAGTGGGTATGCTAACTTCACAATTATAGAATTTCCAGCGGGCACAGTTTTTTTTAAATAAAAATGTGATATACCAATCGTAAGTTCTTTGTTAGTTCTCGATAGTTCTCCAATATTTACGTTAGTTCTCGAAAAAAAAGTTACGAGGCATACAAAGTGGGTACGCTAACTTCACAGTTACAGAATTTCCAGCGGGCACAGTTTTTTTTAAAATAAAAATGCTTATATCTATATACCAATCTACCAAAAACTTTTTTATTACCCACTTTGTGGTACACTATTTCTTTAAATACTTTTCTAATAAGGTGTACCCTTATACCCTTATACTTAACACATTTGTATCCTAAACCCTAAAATATGATGAATTGTAGACTTACATCTTTATAAAATATGTCACAGTTGTTTTCAACATGGTATGCTAATATATTACTTGCAGTTCCGATCAACAAAATGTCTTTGTCGTCCTCTTCATTCAGTCGGCCAGCACAAATTGCATTGACAGCTTGGTTCACATTTAATAACGAGATTTGATTGCCTTTCTTACGAGGGTTATGAATGATTACCTAAAACATTGTTATTCAATTAACTCAATACCAAAATTTAGATTAAACTAGTTGTTTCCAGTTAATAATATTAACTACAGTTCAATGTAATTTTAATAGTTATTTAAATACCATTTTACCTTGTTACTATATCAAAAGTCAATACTAATACTGTTTTAATAAAGTTTTTAACAGAGTTCATAAAAATCCCCGAGAAAACACAGTTAACATTTACATCTTACTTTTGAAATGTTAAAGGGAAAATCTTTCCATACGATCTCTTTGCGCAAACACTCTAATAAGGTCTTTAACCAGATGACCTTGGTTTCATTGTTCTTTAACCATTATTTTAAGTTAATCAAAAGCACAGTACGTACAATGTCCCATGCTGAAAGCATGGCAGATAGGACTAGCTTTTTTAGGTGTGTGTCCCTGAATTTTTGTGATGGTCTAGGCAAAAGCAATTCGGCATTGGAACTGCCGACATTTGAATTTCAGAAGAAAATTTCTTTCTGACAATTCTGAACTTAATTGGAATAATAAAACTTGTTTTCCAGCCAAACTTCCAGTAATCATTTCCAGATTTAAGACTTTGTCATTAATCTCTTTCGCCATTCATCTGGTTCCATTAACCAGTCCTATTTATGGGTTTAAATATCTTATTAAAATTGCAAATTACACCTTTTTAAAAGCATAACTTGTGAGACATAAGCACTTGGTGCTAAAGTGTGGATGTAACTGTTCTCCTTCTTGAATCAAAGTATCCACTGAGTAGTAAACTCATCTGTCATTATTTAGTCGTTTTAACTATTTTATTATTTGTTGCTCACATTTTCATTCTTTAGTGAAATTATTGCATGATTTTGTCTTTTTTTAAGCATCTTCAGAGAATCCTTCACTGAAGATTTTGTCAATGATATTTTTATATTCACAATACATTGTGGAGGAAGACTTATCAATGTCTCACAAAGACCATTATGGCTCTCTTGGCCATTCCCTTTTCGTAAAAGATACTCAGCAAATTGATTCACTTGGAATTGCTCTCATGTCTTTAGGAAGTGAAATATTTTTAAACATTTGGCTCATTGCCGGAAATTACCTCCAAAAACCTTTCCACCAAAAGGCTTGTCTTGGCCTTCTCTTCTGGCAATATCTTGCAGTAATAATTCTACAGAAGATAAAGCATACTTATTGGACATAAAAGCTTCATCCCATTATATTATTTTAGAAATATTTAGCTTCCTTACTATTTAGATTTTATTCCGGAGACTGAGACATTCCATTGTATTGGCAATTTAAATCTGTTTTGTACTGCACGCAAAGATCTCTTAAGTCAAAATAATCTGTCCGTGCAATATTTAAAAATATCACGTGGTCACATAACATTTCTTTGAATTTCAAAAACTAGCATTGGTAACTTTTCAAGCTTTATTATCATATACGATCTCTGTTATTAATACTTCGCCGAATCGCAAACATGGGATTGCTTCTTCTATGCGGCATTTTATGATAATCAAAATTAAAAATTGGAAAACACAACACATAAAAATATCTATGAAAACGTTAAACACACCATATCTGAAAATAAAATATAATCACATAATGAAATAGATTGATTTTTACTCCCTATGAATGAAACTGCATAGATAAACTATCCCATCTTGTAAGTTATGATTGTAGGCCTATTTGAAAGTAAACTACCTATAGGTTGGCCGGTTAGAAAACGACCTCCTTGTAGCATTGGTGCGAGAGAGAGATACCGAGCTGTGGGAGTGAGACGTTTAGACTATGTCCCCACCCCACCACCACCCTTCCCAAACACCTTAAATATTAACAGCAATTAAATTATACAGCTGATCAAAATGTAAACAATTACGTTCTTCATAACTTGAGAAAAATAGGTCCTGCAAAAAATATTGTATGGCCAAATCGCATCAATTGAGCATCATGAAATGTTATTATCATTGTGTAAGCATTTCCATTTCGTAACACAGGATTCCAACTCCCACGACACCAGGGCGGCGCCGTGTTGGTGTCGTGCTGGTGTTGAGTCGTGCAGTGTGAAAACGGCCATTGGCGGAGAGGGGGACATACCCTCCCTCACCGTTACCTCCCCTACATGCGCTAAAAATTTCCCGCAGGTCGTTTTCTAACCGGCCGACCTAGGAAGTAAACAGAAAAAGTAAATATTAAAATGACAGAAGGGAAGCAGGCTATTTTTATGAAGACAGGTGTTTTCTTTTAAGAAATGAATCACATGTTAGGTAATCTTGACAAAATTTTGACTTAATATAGGTATTTAAAATACAAGAAAACTTTAAAGTCCAATGGAGCAAAGTAGGTACATTGATAAATAAATAAAAGGTTAAAATACCTGCTTGTCGCCTTGTGGTCCTAGTATTGTCCTAGTGGATTATGTACATTTCGGCGCGAGTGCCATCGTTGGATCCGTATAAGAACTGTTTACACTAAACTTCCCTGAAGAGGTGCGTAAGATGTCCACAACACAAAACACACATAAAAACCGGTCGACCGTTAATTAACATTTTTAACTTTTGCTACGCGTGCACGGGCAGGATATGGAGGCGCACCAGACAATTTTAACCTTTTATTTATTTGTCAATCAATTGGTCCGGAAACACCACAACAAATATGAAAAAAAAGAGAAAAAAAGTACATTGAACTGAGGGTGACAAAAGTTATTCCATGACTTCTACCTACAGAGAATTCCTTTTAATTTAACACCTAAATCATCAAAATTGGTTCATAATAAAAGAGTTTTGCTGTACACAATATGGAAGAAAATCATAAACGAATTTCTTTATAACAGTTTTTGTGATGTTAAGTTAATTTAAAACCACAGTTAGTTTGTAAACAATAGCCGATACAGTTTGTCAAAATAAATTACAGGCTATTTTGATGTCACATGATTGTACACATTATGTAGGCCTACATGATTCTTACCTGATAGGGGTAAGTAAATCACTTTACTCTGTAGCCCGCTAATCAAAATCAATTATTTTATTTCTAAGCCAACCAACCTTATCACTAGTAGTTGCTGCTGTTAGGCAAAAGTCTGACCCATTATAATTTCCAATGCTGACTCTACCAGGTAATATGTGGTGATTCAGATGCAATGTGAATATGGGGATGGCCATCAAGTCTTCAGTAATATTTATCCTTGCTCTAACCCAATATTTTTATGATCACACTAAACCTAAATAAACTAAACTATTCTCTAGTCTACCCAGTAGTGGAGATGCATAGTCATGTCTTCAATCTTTATGCCTTCAGTTAACTGTGTTGAGTTTACAGTTAACTATAAACTGGGCCTATTCTTATAAACCTAAACTAAAAATAAAAACTTGAACAACATAAACTGTAAACTCAAACAAAACATTGTTACCATGGCAATGGCAATAGAATATACTTTTTCAGGCATAGAGTACCGAACATCAAAATACATGGAGTATGGAGGTGCGAAAGACAGAATAAATCAACTCATGTAGTGCCTCCGCTTCCATTATCATTATCGCATTGATTAATTATATTCTTTACCACCATTTGCGCGTTCTTTTATGTTCTGTTATTTTAGTTTGAGCTACCGATACTTAAGTATTTTTTTTTTAATAGTTGTTTAATTAAACTCTGCCTCACGCTGTTCTCATGTTCTGTTGAAAATGACCTTTTGTTCGCTCTTTTTGATTTTCTATGGGTGATGGGGTTATCAAGATCGTTATGGTAACGCACTTAAAATCTATTCTTCCAAAGTGCCAAAATAATAAAGTTATTTCATAAACAGTCATTTAGGTAAAAATATTCATAAGTTAACATAATTTGTATTGTTTATTTGGTCTGGAACTGATGTTCTAATAGTTCCAAAACATCTTACCAGCTCCAAGCTCTGAAAGAAGACATCAAAAATGGATTCGGTCATCCTAGGTTTAATACGATAAAAAATAAGATAAATCTGAATTTTATACTTAATTTACCTTTATGTAAATTTATTGTTCAAAAGTGCTACTGTACAGTAAAAAAAACACACAAGAAATGTTAAATAAGGTAAAAAATTTATGCGTTTAAATACCTTGATTAAATCAACTTTAAAGTTTGTTCTTAAAGTGATGGTTTTTATTAATAACATTACTTCAAAACCAATTTTAAAAACCTGTTTTGACTTTAGGAGAAAATTTAACCTAGATTTCACACCCCACATGGGTTTAGGCTTCCTTATGCAGTCACGATGGAGGAGAGTGGTTTCAAATGGCGAAAATTGCGTTACGTAATATGTGCACTTATAGTACATTTCAATGGAATGTCAACTGTATAACAGCCTATATTCAATCATTCATTATATAAGGTACATCTCCCCATTACACATCTTCCCATTAGAGGGATGTTAATGTATAATCAACATTATTTAATCCAAACAATTATATATTTCATTTCAACAATAAAATAGTTGGAGTAGGTAATATAGCCTATGTATTTTCAAGTATTATGCAGGCAAATCGTATACTATATAGCACCTATGACACCTATAGGTGTTTGAGCGGAGCAAGCATATCCAATACTTTTAATATGTAACCACGAATTGATCGTTCAAAATGGGGTCCGGTTCACAAAAATGGAATGTCTATACTTTCATCATACAAAGTCAGTGCTATATCCTTTTCACGTAAATGGGATGTATACTTATAGTATACAAAGTAAACATGGAACAACTTGTTCACGTAAATGGGATGTCTAGCCCACAGTAATTGATGCAGATTTCAAAGTCAATGGTACATCTGGTTCACGTAAATGGGGTGTCTATTTGCAGGAAAGTCACTTGTGCATAGTCATAGTCTCTCATTGGCTATTCATTGTGTTGTATATTATAACGGCCAAATAACTCCAGGCCGCACCACGGCCTGGTAGAATTAATTGACAAAGTCGCAAGTGTAGTGATGTTTAGAGCCCGACGTCTCATAAGCTAATTGAAATGGCAAAGAGGTGACCACTCATTTTATTGCAACATTTCAATTTCAATTTAAAAAATTTCATTCTAAAAAACAGGAGCGTAGTCACGGCCGCCTGTGTAGTAGTACAGAAAACATACTAACCTTATTACCACTATAAACTAGGTTATAGTATAGTAGTATGTTTTCTATGGTAGTAGTAAGAGCAAGAGCTTCGCTCGCTCCACTCAATAATAATGTATCATAACGAATAGTTGAGCTATTTTTGATTTTTTTCTGATACCGTGGTCCTAGATACCAGAAAAGCTTGTTGCTGCTTGTGGACATTACCATTGTCTTGCGCGATGGAGGTCGATCACCCCTCGCCGTGTAGAAATCATTATGTTAGGTACCTATTTCAGGTTTGACCATAAGAATTAAAAATAACTCCAAAAGACACAGTTGGTGTCTAAATCCAAATCAAAAGAATAAACTTGGTAATACAAATTTATTGTAGATTTGCACTCACGAGTGTACAAAATACTTGTATAGTATATAATCAGTGGTCATACATAATGATATCTTTTATGTTTAATTTTACTCTATGCAAGGAGCGACGGAAAGGCGGGAAATGTAATGTTTCTCACAACACAACAGCTGATAAACACAGATAAAGACAAGAGAGGTTAGGACTTACACTTTTAGGAGTCAGTCAGGTATAGGTTTAGAATTATACAGGAAATAACTTACTTAGACCAATTATTCACTTCACACGCTCTGCTCTGCTTGCTTTCTGCTATCTGCTGTGCTGTTCTGCTCGGGATTCGCGAAGAAAGCGGACCTTTTCTATATTCATAAATAATTAAATTTATTTCTATTAACTGTATACCCGGGAAAACGGTGAGTGAAGAGTGATTGTTTATAAATTTTGACATCACGGGCCCGGGCCTATTATTACTAAAATCAGGCGTCACAGCCTGTGTGGTGTGAGATAAGTTAACTTAAAAGAAGTTGTAACTTCTAGTGTTTTTTAGATTTGTTCTACACGTAGCCTATGAAGTGATTATAAGTTCATTAATTGAATCACATCTTAGATATTCCTCACTACTCTGAAGAGAGAAGGGAAAGGCATTTATGATTAACCTTAAACTTGTACAATTCACAGCATTGTTTATATATTTTTAGTTAATCAGTCTATCATTAGTGTTATAAAACATTGGCAAGACTTTTAGTGTTGTTAAGTTTTGGTCTTAGATTTATCTAGGCCCAAGGCCTAGCCAAAATATTTTATAGGCCTGAGTACCCGACCCTCATCCTATTATCGATCGCTACGATTGATTGGTTACCTTTTTTGTTGCCGCCATTGATACTGTAGGTGTATGGCTCTGGGTAGTGGGAATTTTTAGCAGGGATTTTTCCCTATACCGGAGCAATAGCCATCCCGCTATCTGCCCCCCCCTTTTTGAGTTATAAGGGGGTAAGTTAGTGTAACTTATATATGTATTAGGCAAGGCTCTGGGGAGTTGGTATGTTCTTATGCTACAGGAGGGCTCAAAATATCTTCTATAGGCCTAATTACCTAAGGGGGGCTCCTCCTTAACTAGAGGATACAGGTTGCGTAGTTCAACAACAGTCTGTTCTGAATTTCCATCTCAAGTAAAAAAGTTGTACTGAAGTAAACAATTTGGCATTTTTGAGGTATTACTTCAGAGGTCATAAGTTACCGGTAAACTTTAACTTAGGGTGGTTGGGGAGGGGAGTAAGGTATGCTGTCATGTAGAGGTGAGAGTGGTGACTCACGGCCGCAGGCAGAGACTAGGAGTGATCGTCACAAAATTTGAGCTAAAGATTGATTTTCAGTGTAGGCCTAGTGGATTTTGACAGTTAGTTAGGCCAGGACTAGGCCTACATATTAAAAAACTACAATGTCTACCATTATGCATGGAATTGAAAAGTTATATGTTGTCTTTCATTCATACTTCCTGTCAAAACTAATTGTATTTTTGGATTCAATGTGAAAAATACTGTAAGTAGACACATTCATAGGCCTAACAATATAATTTATAATTGACAAAGTTATGTTCAACCTTTGCCCAGTAACAAAATGCTATTATATAGTGAAAAACTTCCTTTTTCATGACATCAATGCTTGATGTATGAATTGCCCCTTTTGATGTAGGCTATGACTCTATGGATAAAGGCTAGCGTGACCCTTTGATCTATGCAGTTTTAAGGCCTTCCTGGTAAAATTGGGATCATACAATACTATGGGCCTACTATGGTTAGTAACAATAGGTTATTGTCAGCCAAAGAGTTAATTAATTTTACTGTGATGTTTTAGAGACCTCAAGATTCAACTGTACCATTGAACATTTGGTGCTGTCAAGAGTTATCGAGTAAAAAAATGAGCTGTGGTGGGATTAAAGATAATGAAATCAGTAAATGTTTGGACGATGAAGAAGGTTCAGAAGATGAGGATGCCTCAGACTGGGAACCTGAAAGCAGTAAACCTTCAACTAAAATGAGCTCGAAAAAGAAAAAGAAAGTTGGTCGGCCTTTAAAAAGTACATTCAAAAACCACAAAAATGAGCACCGGTAAGTTTTTGTATGTTGTTTTTACACTATTTAACGTTAAGTTTGTGACTTTATGTTAAATAGGCCTAACTTATTGCTGGTACGTATCATCAAAGACATAATAGAATTAAATATAGACCGACAACAGTACTGCGGTTAGCATAATTTCTGGCGTCCACCGTAGTTACAAAGCACACGTTACGTAACAAGTTAACTACACCACAGTACTAGCGTGGACGTCAGAACTTATGCTAACAGCAGCACTACTGTTGGTCTATATTTAATTCTATTTGTCTACGGTATCATACTATGGTCTACAATATATGATACAGCAATATCAATGGATATTTTAAAATTAACTTGGATAGCCTACATACAAAATTGAGAACACCAACTTAAGTTAGCCTAGTTAATTCTTCTCAAAGCTATTTTCCTTTTGGCATTTCTACTAAAAACTTTTTTATAGGCCTAAAAGTCTTTTTTGTTAAAAGTTTGAAAACAATTACATCCTTTCACTAATTCTCCTGTGCTGTGGATTCTTAACAAGCTCTGTTTCATTCTTGTACCACGCAAAATCTTTTTTCCTCTAACATTATCATCATAAGATGGGGACTCCACCTAGGTGCGTTTATAATAGTAAAATAACTTGTTCTCTTTGTAGGTAAATTTATCGGTTGACGTGCTAGGATCCCGAGTCCGACCCTCCTCCATACAATATAAGTAAATTCTTTTGATTAACATCCCTTTTACACCATGTGGGTTTTTCTGTCCAGCTATAAATCGTAAAGTTTTACACTTTAGACGTTTCTTTCACAATGGTTCCTGACTGTACAGAGAGAGGAATGTATTTGGCAAACAGCTGTTTTCTGGACTAAATCTTTGTAAGGGAAGTTTGTTAAAACAGTGTAGTGTGGGGAAAAGATATTTATTATTTCCGGCTTTGGATATCAGTCTGCTTTATTTTATCATAAGTTATAGTTATAGATATAGTTACCATAATATGATACCTTTTATATATTATATAAAAATCCCCTTTGCTGACTGTAATGTGACTGTGATATCAGCATGGGAGATGGAGGAGAGGAACAAGTTGGCAGTGCAAATTGGGGAAATAATGGAGGGTGATGCGGTTTCCGTGATTCAACCACCTCGTTGGTGGTTAGAACTCAGTATTGCCAATTGAAAACACTTGTGCTGTAGAGCGCTAGAAACATAACGTGTTTATTTACAAGGGGTCTCATCGTCTATGATCCCATAATGTCTATGATTTTTTTGCACGGTAGGTAAATATAGTTTTTGTGTCTTAGTGCCTAATAGTTACGCACTAAGAGACGATTTTAAATTAGGCATCATTAAACAACTATAGTTTTCTAAGGCTGAGTGTAGTAGTGCATGTTCATTTCTGCATGGAAATTGTTGCACGAGATGACTTAAGTTTGTTAAAGCAGCAGTCTAGTTAAAGAAGAAAACGGTTTGAGTTAATGTAACATTCTTTCTCCATTCAACTACAGTACACTCTCGATTATCCAAGCCCTGGGCAATTATCCGAGCCCTCGGATTGTCAGAAATCGTTTCAGGCTTGAATTTATATTTTATGTTTTTGGCGAAAAAACAATAATTAGGCCCTACCGATAGGCCTAGTTTATTAACGTAGTAAATTAATGTGTTAATTAGGACTTGATAGTATTTCTAGAAAGTGTTCAACCTTGTTAAGTGTTTTTTATACTGCAGTGTGTTGGTTTTGCACAATTTTAAGAATAAGTAGGCCTACATCATTTAAAGGTTATATAGACAATTTGAGAAGTGTTGGCTGTTGAGTATGTTTGTGCTATTGTTTTCAACACCTCCATATTAAAAAAAGGTTTGTATTAAAAATTCCATTTGATTGTTTTAAATTCTTTACGTAATCTTAAAACATATACAGGATTTTTAAAAATATTTCACTTCCTAATGTGTTACCGTAACCCCTAACCACAAAATCTAAGCGACCTCAGTGCTATCTAAAATTCTCGGTTATCGAGGTATCTCAGTCTTAACTACCTCGTTTGATCGGGAGTGTACTGTATTACCATCATGTTAGGGGGTAGAGTCGATGAATTAGGTACATACTTTTAACACTTGCTCATTCTGTAAATGTTTGTAGCATTTTGTATCATTTTTTGAAGAATCCCTATTGAAATAACCTATTACCATCACTTCGTTAGCCATAGTAAAATGCCAAAGTGAGTTAAAAAAATTTAATCCTTTACTTGTAGTACTGTAGCTGAGTAAAACTTTACTTTCATTACAGAACGTAGACACAGAGTTCTTATTTTTTACCTTTCTTCTTTGATGACAAATACTCTCAGAAAGCAGAATTCCCTCAGAAGTCGTTCAGAAAGCATTATGTAATTTATATTTAATTTACATCCAAGAATGTAGAACATTAGTGGAGCATTGAGCGATAAACAAGCAATAAGCCTATGTGTTATAATAAAAATTGCACTCCTCACGAGTCCACTGCATTACAACAACTAAGACTTAGAGGAATAAAAACCGCTCTTGGTCAATTGCACTTCAATACTTCATCATAATCTAACCTTTCTACAAAGACAGTTGGTACAACTGCAGAGGCCTCCCAATAGCTGCACATTCTGCTGCTACGCTCCACCCATCTCTACTTCCATTTTCCCATGTGGACAAGGTCGTATTACAGTCGACTCTTTTCGGCAAAGGAGATTCTCGTATTAATTAATTTAATATTACAAAATGACAAACATAACTGAAGTAGCCTAATTTGTTGACAAAGTAGAAGATTTTTGTATTCATATATTTCATTTACAAAGGCAGCTCATGTGGCCCGACCGCCAAGTTATTTGACGACCAACTGGTGCCACCCCCCCCCCCCCCCTAACCTTGTTACGTTTTAGATATTGTCTCTTATAAAAACGGACTCTGGTTAGTAAAATATTCCAAAATCACAAAACTGAATATTATTTTTCTCTTTTAGGGAAATAGAAGGCAAGAAAATGAAAGGTTCTTCCACAGAACAATATGAAAATATGAAAAGAAGAATATCTCGTGGACTTGGAAGTCAAAATTTAAGTACAAATTCTGATGAGACAAAATATGACCTCGGGATGAAAGCTGCCTCTAAAAAGAAAAAAGTTAGAGGAAAGACATCATCAGAAGAAAGTCGGTCATCCACAATGTGGAAAACAGTTAAAGTACCTATGAAGTTTGGAGAGAGAAATCATAAAATCCTACTCAGAAGAAATAACCAATTAGATGTTAATCATCGTTCCACTTCATCTGATTCAGATAGTGATTGTGAGTCAAAAGCTTCAGAGAGGAAAAACGGGTATGTCAATAGCTTAAGTAGGAAAATTCTTAAGGGCAGTAATAGAAATTCTAATTATCGTTCAAGAAGGGTTTTCAACTCACTACCACTTTTAAATTCTTCACGAGAGAAAAGTGACAATAAGCAAAACCTTTCCAGTTTGTCACACGAGAAAAGTGCATCAAAACCAAAATTCGTAAGAAGAACTGATATTAAACACAAAAAATTTAAAAACCGTAGCATTTCTGAAAATATGCCTGGAAATTGCTTTCTGTCCAGTTCATCAGATGAGAAGAGTGCCAAAAAACTAAAATATGTTAGAAGAATTGATTTGGCCAAAAACAAAAAAATAAAACATCATAGCAATATTAAAAACTACTCTGGAAAATATGCCCACTCAAGTTGTTTATCAGACACAGAAAGTGAAGAGACAAAATATTCAAGAAATACAAACTGCTACAGCAGTATTACAATTCAAGAAAGAAAAAATGACAACAATTCTGACTATCCATCATCGATTAGTTCCTTCATCAGCTCGTCATCAGATGAAGAAATTGAATGCACATCAAACTCTTCAGATAGTGAAAATTGTGCACAAACTAAGACTAAAAATAAACCTGGTTGTTATAGTACTTTATCACAATTGGAAGTTTTTACATGTAGCTCTACCAATGAATGTGAAATGTTCACTCCGTCTTATTTCTTGCAAAACCAAACAAATAACAAACATGATCAAACATTGTCAACAAATTGTTACAACTCTTTTGAAAATATAGCAGAAAATAAAGTTCTGGAGATAGATTCCTATGATGAGAGCTACAGTTATGGTTTAAAAAGTTTGAACTCTAAATCTGATGATCAGTGTTCATGTTTTAGTGATGTTTCAAACACTCATACAAAATGTGATAGATACTACGGTTCTTCCCCTGATGTAACAGAAGATAGCATGGATTTACCCAGCGGGAATTTCAAATTAAATTTAGAATCTTTGAACTCATTCTCTTCAAACTGTTCATATTTCAATGTCCTTGAAATAACAAAAGCCAACGATCTATCTTTAAAGATACTTAATTTAACTAATCGTTCTGAAAAGGATTGTACATATTCTTTAACCGAGGGAAACCCAAAAGAAACGTCAGATTTATTAGAAGCTAATGAGGCACCTACAAATAACTGCAACGTAAGAAATAAACATAATTTTATTTCCACTGCAATGCAGGAAGATAATTGCCTTTTACACTCTCCCAATGACCGTAAAATATTCTGTGTCTCTGGCTCATTAGGTAATGTAACAAAATATAACTCAAACATTTTACTAAAGTGGCCAACATCTTTGGGAAACGTAACAGAGAATATAAGTCAGAAAGTAGTTTTTCATATTAAAAACGGTGACATCAATAGTTCTAAAAATATAAATCAGGTTTTTGATGATTGTAATACTGATGGTATTGATGTTTCAATCACTGACACAGAAAGAGATAAGTATTATTGTTCTTCACCAGAATTTTCAGATGACAATATAAATTTTGCTAGCGAAAACTTCAAAATACAACTTGAACCTTTAAATACGCAACCCTCAAAGAATTCATCAAGTTCTAAAGAAAATGCTGTGGAAAATGGAAGTCAGATGATGGAAAAAGGTGGTGCATTTAGAGGTACCCATGATTCCAAATACATGAAATTTACACTTGACAATGGCAGTTTGTTTGGTAAAGATATTCCAGATACAAATATTACAAACATTGAATATTTTTCTTCAACAGATTATTCACAAAATAGTAAATGTTTCAGTGATAATGATGTTTCAATCACTGACAGTAAAACAGATAAAATTTATCGTTCTTCACCCGGTTTATCAGATGACAATTTCATTAGCAAAAACTCCAAAATACAACTTGAATCTCAATGTACAATCAGTAAGAGTAAGAGAATCTCAACTAAAACATTGCAATCTTCAGTTTTTAATGAAACTCCTGCAATTATCCTCAATGATAAAAATAAATGTGTCATCACTACCAAAACAAGAGAAGATAGAACTGGTGTGTTTATTTCTGACGAGTGTGAAAATTTATTTTCTTCTGTATCTTTAGACAGTGGCATTGTAACACCATTGATGTCAGAAAACACAGATTCAAATAAACCTGTTGTAATAATAACAGAAAATCAAACTTCTACAACCATCCACAATGAAGAAAATAAACGTGTGATCACTACCAAAACAAGAGAAGATAGAAATGGTGTGTTTATTTCTGACGAGTGTGAAACTTTATTTTATTCTGGATCTTTAGACAGTGGCATTGTAACACCATTGATGTCAGAAAACACAGATTCAAATAAACCTGGTGAAATAATGACAGAAAATAAAACTTCTTCAACCATCCGCAATGAAGAAATTGGATGTAAAATCACTACCACAACAAGAAAAGATAAAAATTGTGTGTTTCTTTCTGATGGGTGTGAAACTTTATTTTTTCCGGAATCATTAGAGAACGATATTGTAACACCATTGATGTCAGAAAACTCGGATTCAAATAAACATAGTGAAATAATAACAGAAAATAAAACTTCTACAATCATCCAAAATGAAGAAGATAAATGTAACTTACTTACCACAACAAAAGAAGATAGAAATGAATGTGACTTAACTACCACACCAAGAGAAGATAAAACTGAATGTGACTTAACTGCCACAACAAGAGAAGATAGAACTGAATGTGACTTAACTACCACAACAAGAGAAGATGGAACAGAATGTGACTTAACTGCCACAACAAGAGAAGATAGAACTGAATGTGACTTAACTGCCACAACAAGAGAAGATAAAACTAAATATGACTTAACTGCCACAACAAGAGAAGATAAAACTAAATATGACTTAACTGTCACAACAAGAGAAGATAGAACTGAATGTGACTTAACCGCCACAACAAGAGAAGATAAAACTAAATATGACTTAACTGCCACAACAAGAGAAGATAAAACTAAATATGACTTAACTGCCACAACAAGAGAAGATAAAACTAAATATGACTTAACTGCTACAACAAGAGAAGATAGAACTGAATGTGACTTAACTACCACAACAAGAGAAGATAAAACTGAATGTGACTTAACTGCCACAACAAGAGAAGATAGAACTGAATGTGACTTAACTACCACGGCAAGAGAAGATAGAACTGAGTGTAACTTAACTCCCACAACAAGAGAAGATAGAAATGAATGTGACTTAACTAACACAACAAGAGAAGATAGAACTGAGTGTAACTTAACTCCCACAACAAGAGAAGATAGAATTAAATATGACTTAACTGCCACAACAAGAGAAGATAGAACTGAATGTGACTTAACTACCACATCAAGAGAAGATAACACTGTTTTGTTCATTTCTAATGATAGTGAAACTTTATTTTCTCCTGAACCTTTAGACAAAAACACTGTAACACCATTGGTGTCAGAAACCTCAGATTCAACCGAACCGTATAAATTAATAACAGAAAATAAAAGCGAGAAAATGGATTTCATTGCAGATTTTAGTAATTTTCATGGTTCCTCCTGGCCAAATAGTAATCGTTTTTGCTGTACTCATCGTGTATATGGTTGCGATATTTCAAACACCAACACAAAAAGAGCTTGTTGTACTTTGCCAGATGACAATTTGAACTTCAAAACAAAATTTAAACCTTTAAGTACACAACTCTCAAAGAATTTGTCAAATTTAAATGAAAATTTTGCAGGAAATAAAGATCAGATTATGTCAGTTCATAGTACTATTAGTAATATCCATGATTCAGATGATACAAAATCAGCATTGGTTCGTAATATTTTATCTCTTAAAGATTATACCAATAATACTGGAATCAAAAATATAAAAGATTGCTTTTCAACTGATGGTTTACAGAATCAAATGGATTCAAGTAAGGAATTATTTAGTTCAAAAGAAGTATGTGAAATGAGTAAAAATATGGGCAAAACTAGAGAAATACCACAGTTTATGGCCGATAACAATGACTCTTTTACAAATATCAGTAAAAAGAGAAATCAAGATTATTCCATCACCTCTGAAGGAAGAGAATCTTCCATATTTAATGACAGCTCACTTAATGACAGTCTAACTTTCTTTTCTTCTGACGATGAATTATTTAAAATTGACATAGATAATATTATAGAAAAACTGTCAACAAGTTCAAACTCTAGTACTAATTCCTTTGAAAATATAGAAGAAAATAAAAATCTGAAATCGGAAGTTCATGACGAATTGAGAAATACCACTGACGCTGCCTGCGACCGTGACAGTTTGGATGATATTGAAGTTATAAATTCTGAAGTTGAAATTGTAGGGTTTTGTTCAAGTGAATGTTTAGCAAATGGCTTAGCCTTTAGTGGTGATAAAGTTGAAATCAATTGCCTCCTTTCAAGTACTCAATCTACAAATAGTGGTTTATTTGGGTAAGCTGTAATTTATTATTGTTAGTGTTGATTTATTTTATAATAATTAATGATTAGCCTATTGTCTTATTCTTGAGAATTATTTATCCTTGGATGACAAGGGTAAAGCATTCTCTTGGTCTTAACAGACATAGAACTTAGTATTTATGTAGTATTGTTTAGATTATACTTTAAAGTAAAGCCAAATGGCTGATAAGGATTGTTTTTGAAAAAGGAAAGCGTGTTGTTGTGTTTTTACTTGATAAAATTGGGGTCCAGGTAATAGATTCACAAACATTCACAAAACACTAATATTTTTTCTTCAAAAAGTATATTAAATAAAAATACTAGCCTATATCTTCAAATTTAATTCTATCGAACAAGAGCTTTCAATAATAAGATACACCAGTTTAATAGGTATAGGTGTTCTTTTGTGTGTCACAATAAAACCAACTATAATTTTTTCAGTTAAATGGTGCAAGTTCTTCTCATCACTAAGTACCTAGCTAACATGTTATAGCCTATAATTTATTAACTGACAACTTATAAATTGTCATAGAAATTTTAAAACTTTATGTTTATGTGTGTTTTAGGAGATCGGAAAGAAAGCGTAAAGCACTTACAGAAGACTCTGAAGCTACAACTTCAAAAGTCCGCCATGTTTCCACCCATGAAAACGTTGATGTATGTTAATCCTATTTTTTCCTTGGCCCTTTTGATTCCAGCAATACCTTTTGAGTCATATTCTATTGTACCTAATAGTTCTTTCAACTAAAGTACATTAAAGTTGGTCTATGATTATAAATGTTTTGAACTCCTGTTATACTATACACTGTTAGATAAGCTCATCTTTTTAAAACCATATTTTATGATTGAATCATTTTGTTTGCTGGAAAAACGTTTTAGTTATTGTGCTAACGAAATAGACTTGGTGGGTGGTGTAACTAAAAAAGGATAAATTAATATTGTATTGTGCAAAATATAATTTGCTAAATTATTTTCAGTAAAACTGATTGTTCTGTATTCTAATATTAACTCCTTGAAAAGTGTTGAAAAAAAAGATTACAATGCAATGTAATGAAAAGAAAATAATGTAGGTAAACATATGCTTAATTTTGTCTCCTGAAGGTGAATTTAATGAATCCTTTTTAATTAATTTCTTTATAATCTTAGTTCAGAATTCATTTTAACAGCTTAATATTTTTACAGGAAGAGAGGAAGTTTCATGTTTCAAAAAATTTGGCAGAAACCAAAAGTACCAGTTCAAATGATGCATACTTTCAGAGAAATTTACGTTCCCCGCCAAAAAGTCCTGCTGTGAAGAATTTGTTCCCAGAAAAAAATTCGAACAAACTAAACAACTGTAGAACTCCGACCAAGCTGACCGAGGAAGATCTGAGCAATAAAGAAAATAAGAGTTTATGTTCAGAGCAGTCCAAAGGAGATTCGACTCCACGGAAAATCGGGACTAGACAATCTCTTTTTGAAGAAGGTTACAACTCTGAGAGTCAAGTTAGAGAGAAATCAACCCCTCTAAAGCAGGCTCAAACTCCAACAAAAGAAAATAAAAATTCAAGCAGGAAACAGGAACAAAATACAACTCCTAGAAAAAATGAAGGAGACTTAAGAGATTTAAAAGAAAGTCAGATATTAAATGAGTTATCACCAACAAAATCTAGATGTGAGAATCTTTCGCCTTACAAAAGACCTACAAAAAGTGTGTCTAAGACTTTAAATGAGGAATCAAATGAAACTGTCACAGACACAGGAACTCCGACAAAAACACAAACTGCAGAATTGAAGCGCTTGAATATAGATTGTAACCCTTCTATGATCAATGCTGCTTCACCAGTACGTCAAAGTAGATCCAGTTACAATACAAGAACACCTTTGAAAAATAGCATTGGTGGTGAAAATGAAGTGAAGAGTCCTAAAAAAATTTCATTAAAGCTAAAAAGATTTGTTAGTGACAATGATTCAGAAGATAATTCTATTACTAAAATAAAAGAAAGGACCGAAACTCCTTCATCCAGCAAGAAATTAAACAGAGCTTCCAAGTTGAGCTCAAATGAGATTGAAGATATAAACTCAACCTCTAGAACTCCAGAAAAATCCAAAATTGTTCGAGAGATGAAGCGTTTAGCTATAGACTGTGAACCGGCAATGTTTGCTGCTTCACCAGTTCGCCAAAGAAGGGCTAGTGGGTCAAGAACAGCAACGCCACAAAAATCTAAAATTTCTGACAGTTTAAAAACTCCTAAAAAATGTTCAGAAGACTTAAGTGACGATGCTGAATGTGTCACGCCACGGGGAAAAGATAAAGTTGCCACCATGACACCTCGATCGAAAGCCTTGAAATTTGAATATCGTAACCAAAGTACTATGTCACCATTTCCTAGGCAAAGTGTCACTGTTACTACACCAGTTTCCAAGAAGGTAAGTCAATTTTTTTGCTTGGATTTATATAGTAGCCTATAGTACTTTGAACATTTGAATTTATTGTATGTCAGTATGTCTTCAAATGTAATTTTATAATTACACTCTTTGGTTTATCACCACTAGTTTAGTTTCAAAGTCAAAGTCAAAACATTCTTTATTCATTGTTTTGTAGCGTAAGTACATTGAACATGCGTCACTTCTTAAAACTAATCCTTCTTATATTACAATTTCTGTCAATACATACAATGATGTTAAAAACACCATCATTTCTGTTGGCAAATATTAAATTTAAGGCCGTTAGTTATTTAAAAACTCATCTAGTGAGTATAATGCTCTCTCAACTAGGTGTTCTTTTAATTTTCTCTTAAATTTTGAAAACTCTTGATTTTTGTCTATTATGGTAGAAATTTTGTTTAAAAATTTAGATCCTATATAATTTGGCTTTTTCTCAAACATTTTTAATCGGTGACTTTGCAACCTTATTTTTTTATTGTTTCTTGTATTATATTTCCAGTTTCCACTAACTTCAGCATCATCATCCTGTATCACTTTTACATTTAAATTTTATCTTAACATAACATGTTTTCAGTTGAAATATTTTGAATTGATTCCCTTTTTTTCAACTTGTTTTGATGATATTAGCATGTGTCTTTTATTCACAGAAAAACCTTTTTTTCAGAAATCAGGAAGAGGATTTTTAACTCCCTCAATGGCAAAGAAGGAACATGTTAGAAAAGAAATAAAAGATGATGATTTGGACACTACAAGAAAACAACTTCACATATCAACGGTGCCAAAGTCTTTACCCTGCAGGGATGCTGAATTTGATCAGATCAAGTCATTTCTAATCAGAAAAATTGAACATTCTTCTGGAGGGTAAATAATATCTGTATAAAAAATAAAAGTGTCAATTCACTCCTAAAAATACGGCATTAACATCACCAAATATGTACTAGCCATTAGGGTGATCCAAATACAGTGAAACCATTATACAGTCTAGCCTTGATATAACGAACCTCGATACAACGAATTCCTTGATATAACGATTTTTTTTAAATCCCCTAGAACTCTCCATAAGACACAACGTATATTTTACCTCTACATAACGAACAAACCATAACAACGACCTTGATTTAACGAATTTTTCGTGATTTCGGCTAAAATAAGACACCTCCATATATCGAATTTATCATTGTCAGAACCTCTACATTGCGAATTTAACCTCTGCATAACGAATTGTCTACGTCTTTCCCTCGATATAACAAATCCCCAACCCCATTATTGTTTTTGAAAAATCTGTTTCTTTATCAAATGAAATGGAAAGTTGACGTCATCGCTTGCGCTAACATTCGTCTGCTCCGTTTTACACATCTCTATCTGCTGTCGCTGCGCGCGCTATGTTGCAACTGAGGACTGATTTCATTCACTGAAGACTGATGACGACGTAATGTTTAGTAAGCTGTGATTGGGCTATAAGTAACTATGGTGAATTGTACAATTTTTGGATAAAGAGAAACCTGAGAAAGAATATAAAAACAAAACCAAAGAGAAAGAATAGCAACATCGTTATTTTAACATTCCTTTTTCGAGTGTTTTTATTATCTTTAAGTTGGCTATGATTATAAACTTTTATAATGACTTATCTAATAATTTATTGTTTTCAATACGATTTGTTTCAACTAGCAAGACCAATGCTATAGTTAATGATTATTATTGACATTCCTCTGTTGTGATAAATCAGTACTGTACTGTAAGTAGCCTACCGGCCTATCACGAGCAGTAGCTTACAAAACTTTCTACTACTGTTTTGTTTTGTTCTTTACGTGGTTTATGACTACGCAGGGTACGCAGTACAGTGTTTGGCTAGGTTTTAGGAGGGTTAGAACAAGCTGTGATTTTAAACTTACAGCTTTTAACCTGTACCAAGGTCAATGCCATTTTCATGATTGCGCAATATTCAAGATCCCTCCCCTTTTTATGCCGGATAATTTAGGTTCTATTGTACAATGTAAACACTGTAATGTAAAGTATTGTAGCCTATGCTACTTAAATTGTGCTTTAATGATGTCTAATCCCTACCTATATTGACCGACGCTGGTTCTGAACCTCAACTTAGCGAAATTCCTGCAAACATAACCTCTATATAACGAACCTCGTTTTAACGTAATCCTTGATATAACGAATATTCAGTTCGGTCCCTTCAGATTCGTTATTCTGAGGTTGGACTGTATTTCAAGTCACATAAGTAAGACAGTAGTAATTGCAGGGATACGATCAAACAATGTTTGGTAGCTAAGTTGTTCATCTTTCATCCTACAATAGTCCGGCAGAATTGACCCGAACCTGGTTTTGTCCTATTAAGTTTTTTTTATTGTTGATATGTGATATCTAGGGTAAGTAGACCCTAAAACCACCGGGTACTTTTTTGGTACCCTTGGGCAACAGCCGCCATCTTGGAAAATGGCGGGAAAAGTAAATTACAGTGTAAGCTTTTACTTAAAGCAATGTAATAAAAAAACTATTTAAAATGGAACAATGCATGTTGTTTTAAAATGTTTATGGTTAAATTCCCTACTCAGAAATACCATATATTAAATATATATAATTTGTTTTATGGTCAGTATTACTTTTCAAAGTTTATAATTTATAAAAAAATAATGTCATATTTATTTTTATTTCAATTTTGCGCCTTAATTACTCAAAATATGACTATAATATATATTATAAAGTTTGTAGAGCTTTAAATTTAGCATCGAATACATCTATGGGATGTTTTTTTGGATCTGTGAATTTTTAGTCTGTGCTGGGCTTTTTAATAAAACAATACATTTTCCAAATATCTTATTTATTGAAAACACTTTTTTAATGTTACAATTTACACAGCAAAACAACTACTCAACCTCTCATTACCACCATTTTACTTCTCTTTTTCTATAGGCCTACAACTCAAAGACCTTCTTGATATAAAAAAAACTTTCTTTTTTTTCTAAACTCAAAGGCAACAAAAGAGTTGATAATACAAACAAAATATATATATATAATAATTTTAAATGAATAATGTTAAAATTATTTATCTCAACACCCCCTCTTAATTTTAACATTTATGTAACCAAACATTATAGGGCCTATCCAAAATGTTCTTCACAAACTAGTTCAATATTAATGACCTATAAACAACAATATTGGGGATTTCATTGTGAAATCAAAAATATATATACATATCAGCCTATTAGGGCATATTTGTCCAGAATCAAAACAAATAGACATGATAACAGAGAAAAAAAAGTTAGGCCTCTTTATAGTTCTAGGCTACATTTCATTTTCCAATTTGTACAATTCTTTCTTTGAACAAATTAAACTTTACTTTGCATAAAGGTTTAGTTAAGAGATCTGCAATTTGCTTATCTGTAGGACAATACATAACATTAATCTCACCCGTTACAATTTTCTCATGAATGAAGTGGTACCGTACATCAATATGCTTGCTTCTTTTGTTCATTACACCGGTCTTCATCAACGAGATTGCACTCTGATTGTCCACATATAATTTCACTTGCAAAGGGCTGTTTGTTATTTCTTGAATTAACGATTTTAAATAAAGTAGTTCCTTACAGCAATCCGCAGCTGCTATATACTCCGCCTCGGTCGATGAGAGCGCTACGATGGGTTGTCGCCTTGAACACCAGGCAATAGGTCCTCCAGCATATAGAATCACATATCCACTTGTACTTCTTCTGGTATCTTCATCTCCGGCGTAGTCTGCGTCACAGTAGGATTCTAATAAGTTCATGTCCGAGTCTTTGAGATAACTTATTCCTTGATTTGTAGTACCAACTAGATACTTCATTATCCTCTTCACACTTATGATGTCTTCTTCTACAGGGTTTTCCAAGTGTCTGCTACAAAAGTTTACTGGATAAGCAATATCTGGTCTTGATCTTGTAGAAAGATATAATAGGCTCCCAACCGCTTCTCTAAATGGAAAACTATTGACTAACTTCCCAGATCTTGATGTGTTTATCTCACTTGGGGTTGCAACAAACTTGGAATTTTCCATGTTGAACTTCTGTAATAGATTTGTTGTGTACTTTTGTTGAGTCAATTGTATCTTATCTTCTGTTCTCTGAATTTCGATTCCCAAAAAACTGACTGGCTTCAGATCTTCTTTAACTTCAAATTCTCTTTTCAGTTCCTTCAATACTTTTTCCAGTTCCTCTTTATTTCTTCCAATTAAAATCCCATCATCCACATATAAAGCAAGGATAACAGATCCATCTTCATTTTTAAATATACACTTTTCATTCATTATTGGTTCAAGTCCTTTCTGTTTCAATACCTGTGTAAACTTCCTGTTCCAAGTAACTGGTGCTTGTTTCAAACCATACAATGCTTTGTTCAATTTACAAACTTTATTAGGCTCTTCAAATCCTTCTGGTACTTCCATAAAAATTTCTTCTTGTATTTCACCATACAAAAATGCTGTTTTGATGTCAAATTTTAAAATATGATATTCCTTCAACACAGCAATTGCAAACATAATTCTAAGTGAATTACTACTTACTACTGGACTGAAAATTTCTTCATAGTTAAAATCACTTTTCTGCTCACATCCTCTTACAACCAAGCGAGCTTTAAAACGACCATCTTCTTTTTTAGAAAAAACCCATTTGTTTGTTAAAACTCTTTTTCCTTTAGCTTCTTCTTCATTTTTATAAGTCCAAGTGTTATTTTTCTCAAGTGATTTCTTCTCTTCTTCGATTGCTTTTAACCACTCCTTCTTCTCTGGACTACTTATAGCTTCTTTAAACGTCAACATTGCAAAATCTTGAAACTTACTGGGTATTCGCCTTTCTCTTCTAGGTCTTATTTCTTCTTCTGTTTCTTCGGTTTGATTTACTGGATTCATTTCATTTTCCTCTTCATGATTTTCTTCATAAAATTCTGCATTTGAACTATTACCATCGACTAAGTCATTTTCTAGACTAAAATCAATTTTTCCTCCAACATCTGATTTAGGCCTATTTCCTTTTTCGTCAAAAATGACATCTCTAGCTGTAATGATCCTCTGTTTGTCATAACTCCACATTCGATAACCATTTTCTGCATAGCCTATAAATTTCATGACTTCACTTCTCGGATCAAGTTTCTTGATTGGTCTCACAATTTTTACATGTCCCTCACATCCAAATTTCCGTAGTCGAGACACATTAGGTTTTTTCCCAAACCATTTTTCTGCTGGTGTTACGTCCACCGCTTCTGTAGGACTTCTATTCAACAAATAAATTGCCCACATTACAACCAAAGCTAGCTCCCTGCTTGGTTTCATATTCAGATCAACAAGGAATTTCAACTCACCCTTCACCTTGATCACGCTCTACAAGTCCCTGGTACGCCCGCTGCTGGAGTATGGGTCAATCATCTGGTCTCCCTTCCAGAAGAACCACGTCAGCCAACTGGAGAGCATACAAACCCGCTTCATACGGATGCTTGGACCGAGACTTGGTTTTACCTACCGCACTACCCCGGTTGACGATGTGGAGAAGTCCTTCGGTCTTCTGCCTTTGTCACTCCGACGTCATCATGCCGACATATTCATGCTCTACAAGCTGGTTAACGGGTTTGTCGATTGCCCCAACATCCTGAGTGGTATCGACATTACCACGCCCAGAGGCACCCGCTCCAGGACTATATTCAGCAGACGCTTTCTCCCAGCCTACTACTCTTACAACAGCGGAATTAGCCGTCTACTCAAGGCTGGTAGCACGGCGGCTGCTCAACTGGATTTCTTCGGTGAGAAGCCCCTCCGGTTCAAAAAGAAGGTCTCCCTGATCACTTGAGCAACCACACTCCAGCACATCTGCACATTTGTCTTCTCATCGTTAAAACTTGCTGTTCATATTCTTTGTTGATACTCTTTTTAGTTTATTCTTCTGTTATTAATATTTGTTATTACTTTGTTATTACTATTGTTATCACTATTTGTTATTACTATTGTTATCACTATTTGTTATTACTTGCTATTACTATTTATTATCACTTTGTTATTACCATTGTTATTACTTTTCTAGTCAGTAATATTGCAAATGCCATCTAAATTGTATACACATATTTTGTAAAAAGGTGCAATCCGTTGGGAAATAAATAAATAAATAAGCTGATGTTCTCACTGCTTCTCCCCAAAACTTCTTGTCAGTCTCTGTGTCATACAACAATGCTCTGGCCTTTTCAATCAGTGTTCGATTTAATCTCTCCGCCTTCCCATTGTGTTCTGGCGTATACGCTTCTGTATAGCTTAACTGAATCCCTCGATTTTTACACCAATCTTGCATTTCTTTGCTTCTATATTCTCCACCGTTGTCACATCTTAATTTTGAAACCCGAAGATTTTGCTGAGCTTCGGCTTCTAATACATATTCTTTTATAAACTTAAATACTTCATGTTTGTTCGACAACAACTTGACCACTACAAAATGAGTATAGTCATCCATCAAGGTCAAAGCATATTTTTTTCCATCCCATGTACTCGGATCAATGGGACCACATAAATCTGTGTGTATGATTTGGAGCGGTCTTTCTGCACGTTTTCTTTCTTCACTGAATGGGAAACGGGTTTGTTTCGATTTTAAACATACATCGCAATTTTTTTCAATTTCTTCACAATCTTTTTCTGTTAGTTCCATACCGTCAACTAAATTTTCCTTTACCATTTTCTTCATGTAGTTTACATTTAGGTGTCCCAAACGAGAATGCCAATCCAACGCATTAGGCCTATCCTTATACCCCGTTAACATAGTTTTACTTGATTGTTCAATTAGGCTACTCTCAGGTTCTAAATTAATTGTATACAGACCACTAGCCTGCTTCACACCTTCACTAACTGTCTTTCCATTTTTCGATATTACTACCCTGTCCTTGGTAAATGTCACTTCTCCTTCATTATCAGTGACCGCCTTTACAGAAAATAAGTTGGTGCTTAAATCAGGAACAAACAAAACTTTATTCAAATCAAACTCTCTCCCTTCAACTTTACCTTCTCCTATTGCTGTCATTGTTTCATTATTTTTAGCAACATGTACATCTGACTGCTTAAATTCTAGTGAAGAAAACAATGTTTTGTCATTTGTCATATGAGTTGTACATCCTGAGTCATCTACAAACTGAGTTACATGTTTCGACTTATTAAAATCTGAGTAGGTTAAGAACGACAATTTACTTTTGTCATTTGAAAATTTATTAGTTGATCTAAAATAACAGTCTTTGTCCTCATGGTTTGTTTTCTTGCATATTTTACAAAATAATCTTCTACCAGTACTCTGATTCTTACTTTTGTTAGGACATGAGTTTGCAAAGTGTCCTACTTTCTCACAAATAAAGCATTTGCGATTACCTATATTAAGACTATTTACATTTCCAGTGTTTGATCGCTGATTGAAATTTAAGTTTGCTCCAGGTCGGTAACTTGACTTAGGTTGCTGGTAGCTACTAGGCCTACTGGTACTAGGCCTATCATTATTACCACCTCTATTTAACCTTGGAAATTTTTCTGTTCCAGTTTTAAAAGCCAATGACATATCATGACCACTATCAGTTTTAAACCATGATTCTTCAGCTAATAACCTAGTTGTTAGGTTAGTTAGGGATTTTTCATCTTTTGAAGTGGAGTCCCAAGCAGTTAAGAAATGCTTAAACTGCTCTGGTAATGATGAAAAGGATCTTTGATATTAGCATATCATCATCAATATTTTGATTCAAGGATTTTAATTTAAAAGCCATGTTCTGTAGGTTAGACAAAAAATGGGTCATACTTTGGCCAACATCATATTTGTAATTAAAAAATTCTTGCAATAGAGAACATTTTTGTTGTTCGGTCTCTCTGTCAAACAAGCTACATAATTTACTGTACATTCCATGAGATGTTGTTTCATTTAAAATATGAACTAAATAGTGTTTGTCTACTGAGGTGACTATTATTTTCTGAGCTAGGGCATCTTTTCTTAACCATTCTTTTCTTTCCTTTTCGTCTGTAATTGTGTCATATTCATATTTACCTTCAACAATATCATAATTACCTTGGGCTTTGAATAGTACTGTTGTCTGAAATTTCCAATATTTGTACGACTCAGAGTCACTCAACTTTTCCACATTGTCGTAATTTCCACTTGCCATGTTTCTGATTTTACCGGTATGTTTTTACTTTTCTGCTTCTGCAGGCGTACCTGGGCCCATGACCTGTGAATTTTTAGTCTGTGCTGGGCTTTTTAATAACACAATACATTTTCCAAATATCTTATTTATTGAAAACACTTTTTTAATGTTACAATTTACACAGCAAAACAACTACTCAACCTCTCATTACCACGGCCATTTTACTTCTCTTTTTCTATAGGCCTACAACTCAAAGACCTTCTTGATATAAAAAAAACTTTCTTTTTTTTCTAAACTCAAAGGCAACAAAAGAGTTGATAATACAAACAAAATATATATATATAATAATTTTAAATGAATAATGTTAAAATTATTTATCTCAACAGGATCAAGAGTAACGCCAGAACAAAGCGTTAGAAAATAATTTTTTTATTGATTTTCAATTAAAAATAAGGATACTTTATATGTTCAATAAAATTGTAACATCTTTCCTGAGACCATCCGCCACTTCTCTCTGGCTGTTTTTGGTATTAAAATGTTTGTAAAATTACCAAATTTAATTTGAACTATTAACTGTTTATATTTAAGGACTTTAAGGCCGATCTATTCATCTACACTCCAAAGAAACAATATTTTTTCAAAAAGAAAAGTTTAAATTTTGACCAACCCATTGAGTTATTATTATTAGATGTTGTATGTATTGCAATAAAACACTCAGTAAACAATTGGCATCCATTTGACATGTAGATCACTAAAATCGACCGAGTCGGAGGTGAATTACAAGACTTCAACCAACAAAAAATTTTAAATATATAAAGATTTTAATGATTGTATAATTTTCTTTGAAAAAAAGATTGGTACCTCGAGTACTGATTATGCGATGTTATGTTTTTTTTATATAATAAAATACTCAGCAAACTACTGGCTTTCATTTGAGGCATTGGTCATTCAAATCTATCGGGTTTGAGGGGATTTATAGAACTTTAACCAAATAACATTTTAGTTTTTCCAAGATTTGTCTTTAATTAAAGACATTATCTCAGGTTATAATTACGTTATATGAAATGTTATATACTATTAATACTCAGTGAGTTAAGTTACTGGCTTTAATCCAAGCCATTGACTATTAAAATCGGCTGAGTTGAACATGAGTTGTGAACCCCAAACAATAAAAATTTGATTTTTTTTTACAATTTATCTTTAGTTAATGATTGTGTCTCAAGTTATATTTACGTGATATTGTATGTTGTGGTATGGGAATACTCACTGATTTAATGCGGTTCTTTTCAGCTATTATTTATTGCAATCTGGCGTGTTTGGAGCGAGTTATAAGCTTAAACGTAGAATAAAAGTTGTTTTTTCTTAACTTTCTTCTGTATTTAAAGACATATTTCTCAGCTGCTATGTGTACTATGTTATTCGTTCTGGTATAAAACACTAGGCCAACTTAGAACTTTCATTTGAGACAATTTTCATTTAAATATTTAGAGCTTAAGGTGAGTTGTAGACCTCTAACTAACATTAAGTTTTCAATTTTTAAGGACTGTCTTTTATTAAAGATCTATATCTCAAGATCTAAATGAGCTGTGTTATTCATTTTGGTGAAGAAAACCTCAGTAAGCTATGTGTAAACTCAGATATGAACCTAACCTGGTTTATTCCTATCAAGTTTTTTTTGTTGCGTTTGATAGACACCAGTGAACAGAATTGAAAAATGTGTAGTTGCGTGAGCTCAGGCTTACCTTGCACAGTATTTTGTCATTATTTATATAATACCTGTTCAAATAGAAAAATACAAACTCAAGACGTCAGTGAAGACTACGACAATGTAGAATAATGAGTTAATACCCCCGCTGCAGCAAACCTGACGAATAAGCAAATTTCCATTTGCCTGGATTGATTTTCAATTAATCTATTAAATCCACATTTATGTTTACAGAGTACCTAGGTTTGCTGCTAAAGGGAAACTAATAAAGTGTATTTTTTATTAAAATATTAATAGCTTAGTATAGAATAAATAAATCTGCCAAGTTTGATAAATATATATCAAAAAACAAACCAACTAAAACGTTTTACAATATTCTCCATAAGAATAACATGGGAGTTTAAATGAACTATTTTTTAAATTATATATATAGATATATATAAATTTGAGCGAAAGAGTGTTTTTGGCCTCTGGGGACATCAAAATGATGTAAATGGGTCCCGGGCCTAGGTCTTACCACGAAACCTACAGTAATAGCTACTTCCCTATAGAGAAATCGCTAATAGTCACTAAGGTTACTGAAACGTTATTTACAAGTTATTTCTACATGTAGGCCTATTATGTAAGTTAAAATTTTACATGAATAAAATATTTATGTTACAATACAAAATAATAAAACTCAACTATGTTGAAATTGCTTTTATTAATTTTGTTAACTTATTGTATTTTTTCAATGTAATGCAAATACTAACAAGCATAGCCACAAGTGCTACGGGAATTCAGTTAACTTCAAAATCGAGTGTTATTATTACATGTCATAATAATGATGTAAAGAATGTGTCATGCTAGTAACTTATAGAAGCTCAGGTTTAAATTGGCAAAACTTATATTTTGTTCGCTTATAGGTAACACTAAAACAAGTTCGTATAACAAGTTTTTTTAATTGGGCAAAAAAATCAATTCTTAAGATAAAAACCACGTTTTCTACTGCCAGTTTAAAACAGCTTTGATATGGCTAATATCTGGTAAATTTATGAGTAACATTATAACGAGGTTTCATACTAAATTTCATGATATTCGAACTAAAAACGGATAGTTTATAGCTTAATTACCATGTTTTAATTTAATCAATTTATTTATTAATATTGACAATTATTATCTCAAATTCTAGAAGTTGCCCAAAGGAACTTTGTAAGTACCCGCTATTTTCTGCATCTAAATACTAATATAAAATGTCATCAGTAAAAAAACATAGTAGAACAAAAGAGGGTTCAAGGAAAATTCCCTGTTTGGTTGCTGGACTATTCCCAATTTACAAATCAACAAATTACAAGAAAAAAATTGATTTATAGATTGATGATCTATACCTAAAATTTTTTGAAACCCAATAATTAATATTTTCCCTGAAAGCCAGTATGTTACCGACTGTTTGCTTATAAATACATAAAACATCACATAATCACTAAAGATATAGGTAGGGCTTTGATGTGACTTTTTTTATAATTAAAATTACTCTTTTTTGGGGGGTCCATAACAAGCTACATCCTATGATTTGAATTATAATTAGCGTGAATGAAAACCATTGGTTTATTGAGCATTTTGATACCAAAAACAGTAGAAAAGAACTACAGAATATTCTTAGGAAGAATTATATAAATTATTTTAATTTATTAGATACCCCTCTTTGTCATAGAAAAAATAAATAAAAGTTATTTTGTACACATTGTTGTGACGTTATCATTGATCCAACAAAGATCCCTATAGGTGCATTGGACGCACAATTTTAAGATCTACAACTTTTGTAACATGTATCATGGCCTTTTTTCAGAGATTTTAGCACAAAGTTGAAACAAGTAGGGATAGAACAAATTTTGTATCTAAATGATTAACTTTAAAAAGAAATACTGGCTTTAAACACACAATATATAGTTAAAATATGATATTTTCCTGCATAGAATTTCACTGTGAGTATTTTAAAAGTGTTTGCAATGCTGTAGGTAGCATGGTATTTTTATAACATAGTTTTAAGTAAAAGCTTACACTGTAAATTACGTTTTCCGCCATTTTCCAAGATGGCGGCCATTGCCCAAGGGTACCAAAAAAGTACCCGGTGGTTTTATGGTCTACATACCCTATATAACTCAAAACAACAATAAAAAAAACTTAATAGAACAAAACCAGGTTAGGGACAAAATCCTCATTTGGCTGCCGGACTAACAAGAATCTTAAATCAGAATAAGTCTTCAAATAACAAGACCTTTATATGTTCAGGAAGAAACATATAAATACATATCAATTTATTTCAGTTATTTATATCAGTTCGTTAGTTAAATAATAGATTGGTCTTAAATAAGATAGTCTTTAAATTATAAAAAGTGTTGCTGGGATAGCGGAATTACCAGAATGTGGATATTTATACGCATGTGCTGTGGATGCGATACTCCCTGGTGTGGATTAACGTCCGCACGGGTGAGTACTATCCTGATAATTAGACCAATTCGTAATTACCAAGGCAAAAATGTGGTTCGGATTCCACTATAAACTGTAGGTCCCTTAGTTGCCATTAGCTGTATGGGCTATTAATTAACAGCTGTGTCTAAGGAATGTCGGCCTTAGTCACTAACAAGACCACAAGACTCATCCTATACTCATCTCCATTCATACTTGGCTTAAAATACCTACTTTGTATGGTCGCCATTTCATAGAACAGTAGAACAGTATTAATGAGGAAGAGTCCATCATGGCACGAGAAACAAAAATACACTATACTGTACACAATAGTTAGTCATTGACACCAAGGATGGTTTGAGGTAGGGAAGAGTTAGCGTGTGTTATTAGTGTAGTTCTTAGTGTCTCAGACTTAAATGCAAGATGGGATGAATATCTAAACATATTTGAGAGGTTTTTGGACCACTTTTCCTCAAAAACGTTATTATCTTAGTTGCTTTTCTTTAGACTCCAGTGGCAGGACCCCTTTTCGAACCAGATAAGCCAGATATCCATTAAAATCTCCTTTAAACCTACGGCTTCTCACATTTTTTACACCAAATTGTTTTGTGGACTGAACCTTGAAATTGATAAGCTATTTGGCTAAACATTATTGAAAATAACACACTGATAGTATTACTTGTAAAGAAAAAATAGTGTAATTTAAAATTCATGCTTTTTGTTTTCTTATTAATATGTAACAGAGATTTTTATTAAGGATTTCTACATTACAAATTTTTGTTCTAGAACTCTTACCTTACTATTTACTACCTTTAGCACACAAGTAAACCACATTACTGTTGCAGGTGCATGTATATCAGTGGGGTCCCTGGTACAGGTAAGACTGCCACTGTCCACGCTGTCGTTCGTAATCTACAACAAGAGGCAGATTGTGGAAATCTTCCTGACTTTGATGTGAGTTTGATTGATTTTGTAACACTATTTTATGATTGTCGCTTTTACCCCTTCGCGAATAGAAATACTGGCTACCATTATGTATCAAGGGTTAAGTTTATGTGGCAAAATCTCTTGAATTTATTACCTATGAATTGGTTGATTTACATACCTAACCTATGTAAACAATTGTGCATGTGTCTTGTTAAGATTTTGCCATTTATTTTGAAAAATACAAATATCTCATCCTTTAGTAATACCACCTCTACTATTGAGCAAATTTCAATTCCTCCTGAACTTCTTTGGATGTTGAATAATTAATTGCTTGGTTACATTTTTCTTTGTAAAAAGTGTATCCGTCTGTTATTATTACCGCTTATACAAAGAACTAAAAATGGAAGTAGATTTAGTTTTAGAACTAGACTACCACCAGCTAGCTCTTCTTTTTATTTAATTTCCTATTGCCCTTCAGATTTTCCTTTGCCTTTCTCTACTCTGATGTTCCTGAGAGATTCGGCCCAGATTCTCTTTTCATGTCATCCTGTACTTTCCATGTCATACTTTCCATGGAGAGTATGACCTACCCATCTTTTTACATGAGAATCAAAGTTTTCTTCTGTTACTTATCTCTGCTGTTTGTTGGCACAGTTTGTGGAAGTGAACGGCCTGAGGTTGACCGAGCCTAAACAGGCGTATGTCCGTATCCTGCAGGCGCTCACGGACAGGAAGCTGAGTCCTGACCAGGCGCAGCAGGTGCTCAATAGGAGATTCTCCAATAACTGCAAGAAGTCCACTATAATACTCGTAGACGAGGTGAGAAATAGTTGCTTTATAACATAAATAAGATTGTAAATAAATCATTGCTGCGTGATAGCATGATACATAGAACAATACAATATACGATACAATACAAGAATTACTGTGTTGCAACCTAATCTAATTTACAATATTTTATGCAAGATGGTGAAAATACTCTGATTAAATGGGTAGCTGAGTAGAGATTATTGATAAGAACGAGAATTCTTCATTGCAAGATCACAATAATGATAGTGTCACAACTCACAATATATTTTATCTGGTTGACAAGAATTTACGGAAAGTAAATAAGATACGTCTTATAACACTTTTGCGAATTTCGCGAACATTCCCCTATTGGGTCTGATGATGATTGGAGTGTCCAATCGAAATCGATAACCACTTAACATCTTTTGTATATTTACCGTCTTGTGAGTAACAGTATAAGCGTAAATATATGTTTTAAGTGTTATAAGACGTATCTTATTTACTTTCCGTAAATTTAATAACACGTACAATGCTGATCAAGAAGTTATTTTGACAAGAATCTTTAAAACCTTGACTAGCGATGCGTGTTATTTTACGGTATAGAATAAATAATACTATTGTCTGAAGTTCCACTTATTTTCTTGGTACCGTAATAGATTATCGAGAATACCCTATTTTTTGTAATAACTTCAGAACTGTTTGAAGGAGCCACGAAAAAAAAGTCACGCCTATCATGTCTTCCTATACTGTTGATAAAGCAAGTTAAATAACCCTGATCATTTTCCTTTAACAGTGATCGGCTGAAATGTACCGGACAGGGAAGTAATAGGGTTAAAAAATAATATTATTATTTTTACTTATTACCGAAAAGATAAGGAACTTGAATTATTGCAAAGTATTGATAATCCCATCTCTAAGTTCGACAGTTTGAAAACATATGCTAATTAGCTCTGGGTATCCAAGTCAAAAGGATCATAAAAAAATGCAGTTGCCTAGTTTTTTGTTGTACCAAAACATAATCTGGCTAATTGTCTGTTTTTCTAAGTCTGTAAGCGTTGCTTATTTGTTTATCACATTTTTATCCGTTCCTAGCTGGATTACCTGTGTAACCGCAGACAAGACGTGGTGTACAACATATTGGACTGGCCGACCAAGCGGGGCTCTGCGCTTGTCGTACTCACCATCTCCAACACCATGGATCTGCCCGAGCGGACACTCAAGGGGCGCGTGACGTCACGCATGGGACTCACCAGAGTCACGTTCCAACCGTACAGTCACCACCAGCTGCGAACGATCGTGCAGGACAGGCTCAGCGGAACGGACACTTTCCACCCGGACGCTGTCCAACTAGTGGCCAGGTAACTAGAGCCCAAGTGAGCAGGCGTATCTGAATGGGAAAGAGTTCAAACTGGCACAAGAAACACAAAACATTAGAATATGTAACTGTCATTGAAATGAATTAAATAAAATGAAATCAAAGAAAATGTTTATGCACCTATAATGTCTACAAAAACTGTAATTTCTGACTGTCACAATCACTGACAGGACTTACAACTGTGGAAGGTATGAGTTCAATATTCAATCACTATTCAAGAGAGGGTGAAGTTTTCTTTTTGCTAGTGCCTAAACCAGTATCATTGTTAAAGAAAGTATGACAAACACTTTATGTAGTCCAAACCCTTTGTAATCACACAGGGATCTAGCCCGACTCTCTCACCAAGCACTCTAACCAGAAGCACTGAAATATGCCTATATTAAAGCTACAAAACTAGAAAAGTGTCAAAATCTTTGTCTTTTCATTGCTGTTAAGGTTGTGTCAATGTTATCTCTATCAAGAGCAGTTTCTGAAACGTTTTAACTAAAAGTAAATTTTAGTTAGAGTCAAGTTCTTTTTTGTTTGAAACTCCAAGGCGCTGACTACTAATCTAGCAACACACCTTTAACATGTTTCTATCATAGGATTAGGTTTGTACTTGCTTAACCTTTGATCAGGTACTGATTTCAAAACAACTCAAATCATGAATGTTGCTGCTCGTTTCTCATACTTACTTTATTATTGTGTGTTACCAACAGACTTGTTCAAAATGAAATAAATATTAATGTTCAAGATGAGAAGAAAAGGTGATAAAATATGCGTTGTTAAAATCACTAAATAATCAATTTTCAACAGTTCAAATAGCATTATCTCACTATCATTTACATTAGACCTTAAACAAATAACATTTGAATCATTTGATAGAGTTAATGGTTTCACTATTGTCTGCAGGAAAGTTGCCGCTGTGTCGGGAGATGCTCGGCGTGCTCTCGACATCTGTCGGAGAACTACAGAGCTGGTGGATAGTGGAGAACAGGTAAATCAATATGTTTTAGACAAATAAATGTATGCTATCTACCATATTTTGAGACAACATAATGGTACAGTAAACTCTCACAATCTTAGCACCCAATAACCTTGTAGCCCAGATTTATTGACAAGTCTGGTTTGTACACTACTTCCTTGAAATTCTACACTGGTAATGATTAGCATCGTGCAAGCTACTCTGGTGAGTTTTACTGAACTCAGTAGCTTAATAATTACACAATATGTTGTCTTTGCAATTTTGATTATGTGGAACTTACGAAAATTGAAACTGGAACATTTGAATCATGCATACTTGAAGACCAGAGTTCATCAGTCTATCAGATGGCTCCATTATCTTTTACTATTGTCTTTTATCTCCTGAACTCCTTCTGAGCTCATGACATGACTGACTGAAAGACCTAGAGCTCAAGAAATTCCACAGAAAAACCATAATGGCCTTTTCTAAAGCTGAGGCTGCATTTTCCGACTTGTCAACCATATCCCTTCTATCCTCACCAGATCTGTTCACTGGATTATCCAAGACTTACTAAGCATCTCGTTTCCCAGGTGACTGTGTCGCATGTAGAACGCGCCCTCACCCAGATCTTCTCAGGCCCGAGAGTCGCAGTTATTCAGAGTCTCTGTCGCGAGGGACAGCTGGTGTTGCGAGCGATACGCGACGTCAATCAACGGACGGGCGTTGATGAAGCCAGTGCTTCGCAGGTTTACCAACATCTGCTTGAGATCTGTATTGTGGATGGTAAGTGTATAGTACTATATCGTCTACCACTTCAAGATAATACTTTTTCAACCCAAGTATATTATGAAACCAAAAGTGTACTATTACTCCAGAACGATAATCACTATTAATGTTTCAGGGTGTCCTCGTCCTACAGTAGGATCAATGCTGCAAATGTGTGTAGCCCTAGTCGCTCTCGGACTCATCGTAGCGGAGAAGGGAAGGATGGACATCATGCGGAAAATGTCACTCAATGTGAGCTCGGACGATATCCACTACGCTCTTGACAAAGTCACTGTTTGAGTCTGATCGGTAATTTATTTTTTAAAGAATTTTTAATTGTAGGCCTAGAAGGTATATTGTGGAGAGTTCAATCGCCGCTTGAATTATGGTCAGGTAAAATCAAAGGTTTAATAATGGGTTTTCCATCACTAAATTAGTTGTTGTGAAAATTAAATTGACGCGATAATCCATAGATGGGATACAATCGAGTATTAGGTAATAGTTATGTGCCTTTGCTTTTCTCAGTTGTGATATTGTTGGCTATTAACAGATCAAGTTTGAAATTTGTCACCATTTGCAAACCCTTTTGTGCCATTTATAAAAAAAAGTCAAATGGAAAATATCTGTTTTGCTGTTCATTTGATTGTTTGTTAGAATCTTTCAAACGGGTTTTCTGAGAGAAAATATTTTTCTATTTCCTAAGCATTTGTGCTGCAAACGATTTTCAGATTATCATTTTTACGAATAACATAGTAATTTTGTGAACACTAAAAAACGGATAATAATCTTAAAAGAGTTCTCATACGAATACTTTTAGTTTATTCTAAGATTAAAATCGGCTGGCCTTTAAGACCATTTGGAGAAAATGCTAAATATATCTGTATGATTCCTGTGTAAAGTTGCAACTAAGTTTCTGATTCTGTGTTGCTTTCCAGTTTCCCACTGTAATTTTAAAAACAAAGCCAATTTCACAGATAAAGTGAGCTTTTAACTATGAAACTGTTTCGTGGTAGTTTTTAACAAAGGGCTAAAAGTAAATGTCCCTATAGTCTGCAACAATTTGTTAGGATGAAGGTTATACAGTAGAGTCCCGCAAACTTGGCGTAATGTGGACTGGAAGGGTGCCGAGTTTGTGAAATGCCGGGTTATCAGGAACTAGGGTTCATAATAAGAACAATAAAATCTTTAAGCTTTTTAACAGCCTTTTTTATTTATATTTATACTAGCTGTTGTACCCGTGCTTCGCAACGGAGAGTACACTGAAGCGAAAAAATTGATCTTGAATTCTGTTCTATAAAATAGTTACACATTCCCCTTTGGTTTCAGGAACATAACTCAATTGAAACTCTTAGTTTGAAAAATATCTTTCTTTAAGGCTAGTCTAACTTATATTACAAGTAAGTATTAAGTCATCAGATATAGCACAACAAATCCTTGGTATGAGTTGCTAATGATTTGACTTGAGCTGGCTTGAGTCCATTTTTAACTCGGACTCAAAAAATCACAAATTTTCTGAGCCAGGTGATGGCCGAGTTATCCAGACTGCCGGATTATCGAGTACCGAGTTTGCGGGACTCTACTGTAATGGAGTTTGAATTTACTATTTTGTAACTTTATTTCCAAAACTAGAAGCACATACATGCAAATTTCTGGCTGTATTTACACTTGACAATTCTCCTCAATATGATTTGTTTGTGGGAGGCTAAAGATTTCAACGCCACATTTTAAAAACTTAGTTGCAACTTATTCCTGATATCGATGAGCTTCAAGCTTGTTCACCTCACAACTTAATGTTTACTGTTATTCTATTTTTATAGTGAATTTTTTGTCAATTTTTCATGTATTTTTATATTTAATATATTTTCTCAAACTATACTTAGATGTTTGAAAAGATTTGAGTATTATTTGTTACCTTTCCTGTATCCCTTTATTTTAACAAAAACCCCCTAGTTGGTTGAAACTTTCAGGCATGATTGAGCATTATTATGTGATGATTTGTGTGAAGTTTGGTGCAGATCCGTCAAAAGGGCTCCGCCCCAGAGGGTTTGAGGGGTCCAATGTCAGACATTTGAAACTACAATGTTTACAAATAAATATAACTAGCAAGTTACCCAGCTCGCGTTACTGTGCTAACAATTTTTATTTTAAATGGTAATTTGTTCGTAATGATAAATAATAAAAATGTATACCAAAAACTTATATAACTTTATATTTTAACTACAGTTACTATTAATTTTTGGTATTTCAAACACGTTTTTAGGTTAGGTTAAATCCAAACATTGAACAAAATTGGAAAAATTAAGTAAAAGCAGCAATTCTTTCTGTACTACAATCAGTGCAAGGAAGCCCACTTTGTCGGGTGACTGTAAAAAAAAATACTTTGTTACACAGTATCGTTGTAAATATCTCTTGGATCATAAAACTGAAGCAATCGACGATACTACAAGTTTATCTTCAAGTTGCATCAGTTCTCATACCCATCATTTCCATATTAATTCTAAAATATGAAATTTCAATAAAAAACTTTATATCAGGATAGCCGAATTCCAACTGCAATCTACCGGTATACAGCTAAGAACTTAATCATATTTTCTTATAATTTGTTGACAATAAAACACTCAATAACATTTCTAGACACATCTTTAATTGTTTCACAATTTACATTTTGCATAGTATAATGGTAATGCATCACAAAATAAATATGGTAATATAACACAAAAGTAAAAAAATATTTTCTGTAACACAAGATCACAATAACTAAACAAAACAATTCAACTGAGAGATAGATTTCAAAAACGTGATAGAAAACTGACACATAATAACATTGAGACAACTGCATGCAATCATTGTATTGTCTTTTGTCTTAAGACACATTTTACATATTTATTACACATTAAAGGGAAAATATTGTCAGCTAAATGATATTCGACTGTTTGATAGTATTTTTTATCAATGAATTTCATAGTTTGTTGTAATCTAATGATACTTATTTCATATCTAAAATTACTTGGTTTAAACTACGTATCAAAAGTAATTTAACTGTATGAGTAGGAAAATTACGTATTACAGTTGCTTAAGATTTAAGCGTTGTTGTTTAAATATTCTAACAGTTTTATTTGTCGTTTAGAGAGCACTGATACCTATTTAACTATTACTGATTATTTCACAATTACTTGAACCAATCGATGTAAAATTACAAATCACCGCCCACTCCCTGCATCAATTATGTAAATTTTTTTACACATACTAAACTCTAAATTCAAGTTAACATTTTTAACCACAGCAATAGTTAAATCAATTTACTTTCGTGGGAAAGTAGAAATTGATTAGTTTAGCCCCCCTATACATAGTAAAGGGAGCTATACATAGTAAGTATGTATATGGAGTTTTTTTTTCTGTCAAAATGTTTGAGTTTTGGGCGGAAATAATTATCAACATTATCCAATTTGGATCCCCCTGAACCGAAAAAATGGTTTTCGAAGTAATGTCTGTGTGTGTATAGCTGCAGACCATATCTGTGATCAGATTTTGATAAAATTTGGTATGTAACATGGGTACTATTCCATTGTATCTCCAGGTGAAATTAAAACCTTTAATGGTGATTTTCTAATAAAAACCCATGTAATAAATGAAAAATCTGATAAAAAAACCCAAACAAAATTGGTCCAGCCCCTTTTGCTGTAAAAACAACGGTTCAAAAGTTATTGCAGCTTGTGTGGCTTTCCATAAAATCCCAACAAAAAAATGGGTTTTCAACAATGTAACTTTTTTTTTAAAGAGGTTGGGGGCCTTTTTTAACCTTGCATTTGCCCGTCCACATAGACTACAGATCTGTGCGTGGAATGTACCAAATTTGATTAAAATTATCTATGTTATAATACTTTTACTCATAAAAAAACAACCACTGTAAAAATTACAGTTCCAAAGATATTGCAACTCTTGTGATTTCCCCCAAAATATTATAGTCACTCCCATCCATGATGTTGACAAGCTAATGGGAAAAAGTATGTGTCAGATTGCTCATACCGCTTATTTATGACTTAAGAGATGTTTATGAGCAAATTTTAAGCTGAATTTAAGCTCCATTTTTACTCTTTGAACCCCTTCCCATGGTCTGATCACAGTGGTTTTCGAACTCGTTGCAATAAATGTTTGTACCAAATTTTATCAAAACAACATAATTTTTACTTGAGTTATTGTGCGAATAAATGAATTTGATATGAATATGAACAGAAGGCCTCTGGGGACCTCAAAACAAAAAACAATAATCCGTCACAGGTCTTATCATGAGACCTACGGTAATAGCTTCTTCCCTACATAGGAAATTTGCTAAAACTACTGACTTTTATCAGGATCAAACCGTCGGCCTCTTGATTTTTAGATGAGTACTGTACTCTAATAATTCAGCTAAGCAGTAGCTAAGGGAGAGTAGAATAGCCTTAGCCTTTTGACTTTCTAGCTATATCATATTGCATACTTAATTTATTCATGGAAATAGTTGTTAAAGGTTAGCAAAATATAAAGAAACATTTTGAATTTTAAAAGACCAAAGGGAGTGGTAAAGTTTATAACAAATTTAGTCTAAAACTTGTTTGATAAAACCCTACATTTTCCAACAAACATAATACACAATTAATTAACCTTTGATATGTGGAATAATTGAACATTTTCATGGTGATACATCGAAATGAAAACAATGTTTTATTATGGCGGTCTAATAAAAAAAAAAAAAAATAAAAAAAAAAAAAACTATGTTGTCCACTAATTTTCCAACATTAAAAATATCTTTAGTTTATACTTCAGCTTCTTAAATATCTTTAAACTGTCTTTTAAATGTGTTTAGGTTTAGGCCAGTTATTGTTAGGTTAAGGCAATTGGCACGCTTAAAAGCACCTACGTTAGCACACTAGTTGAAAAAGGACATTCAAACAAAATTACTAATAACTACTGGAATTGTAATAGAGTAAACTACCTAAGCGTCTAAGCAAATCAAACACACTTGTTGAGACTCAAACAAAATGGTATCCTATAAAACAAAATATGTTCTATGATTGAAACATAAATTCCCAACTTCCAATTTCTTTAAACTACCAAACAGAATAATAGTTTAACTTACATTGTAAGAACAAGTAATCAAAACCGATCCGATTTAATTGATTGGGCATAAATTAACCAGATTATTAACTCAGAAAAGCTTTTGAATGCAGGTAAAAATAGCTTGCTTATAGATATAAAATGAAGTCTCATTTGCTTTATTGATAGAGTTAGTTTGATGGTTGGAAAAATTAAAAATTCAAGATAGAAAATAGGTAAATTGTAATTTCTAAAGAGACATTTAAGACAATTGTATTCACTAACTTACAGGACGACATAAAAAAAAAAAAAATATGCCAATAATCAATAGTGCTTTAAATAGAATATGAACTATTATACTTTTTCGTATGAGTAGGTTTAACAACTTAATTTTCTCCTATAGTGTATAGGTTTATATTTATTTTTTAATATTTAATGTAATATCTTTTACTAAATTGACGAATATTGCTTATTATTACTGAAGGACGTCATAATTTTGAGTATGCTAATTCAAGCGCACTTGTAACTTAAATATTTTATTACATTTACATTTACCCTCAAAAGATGAACTTATTTACAAGACACAAAAAAATAAAATGGGGAAAATATCGTCATTTGAAGATAAAGTTATAGTGACTAACACACAGAAAACTAGTTAAAAATAGTTACAGATAAGAAAAGAAAAAAAAATGCTTAACAGTAAAATAAAATAAGTGAAAACAGAAACAAGAAAGGAATGATAGAAAGTAGTAAGCATTACAACACAGCTAATCTAAAGGTAAAACACAATAAATTAAAATACATTACCCGAATCTAAACCCAATTCCCGTTGGGAAGCGTGCAACACATTTAAGCATGGAAGTGTACTTATAAAGTACAAAGTTGCTTCTCGCTGTCTTAAATACAACCATAGACTAACCCACACAAGTAGACTTCTCATCCCATTGTAAATTTTGAAGCTCGTTTTTCTTGTCTATTTCATGTACGCCACACTGGGCGCTAGTGTCGACGAAATTTTGTTTTTATTATTTTAGGGTTAATTTCTTGATTTGTGCTTTACTGTTTGGTTAAATAACTAGGGGACAATTTATTGTTTATGATTAGATCGTATTATTTGGTTAGACGAAGTTTTAAATGACTGTAATAACAGGAAACAAATTATAAACAAAACACGACCTCTACATAAACCGTACATGAACTAACAATAATATTGTCTTCAGCTGTTCCATTAGGATGAGAAATCTACTAAGGGAGTATGTTTTATCTATGATACAACTATGTAAGCCAACTAGAAATACTCAACAACGCAACCTGTCTCACTTCGAATCTAGTCCGACTCGGAAGTTCCTACTAAAACATAACAACAGAAAAATAATTTATATATACATACTACTTAAACTAGTTGTGCAATCGCATTAATTGCAACTAATGACAATCTAATATCATTGACTCTATATCGAGGGCATGTTAGAAGACTGCAAAATCAGATGAAAAATTGATGGATTTCTCCTAACTCTTTGATTTGTAAGCAAAAGATGCCACATATAATAACAACAGGTAAACGGATAACGTTTCAATATCTTTGTCCCATATTGCTAAACATTCCAACAATAAATAAGAAATACTGACATTTTCACAGACAGTGAAGTACACGTAAAATGTACACATAACATAAACGTTTAAAAAAAGTTAAAAAACCATAGTGAGTTCATACTCCAAAACCAGTGAAAACTTATAAGTAAATTTTTCAACTTAAATAAGTTTTCCCTCATAAGAATGGAAGAATGAATACTAGGTTGAAAAACACTGTGTGGCGATCTATTCTATGTGCATCTTGTTTTGAAAATAGCTTCTTCCAAAACCAACATTCTAGGAAGTAGCTGAATAATATAAAATATACATTGGAGATTATTTTCAGCATTCCAAGATCCATTGGAGACACATAAACTCACATGGCCTACTAAAAAGTGTGCAAAACAAACAAAAATAATAAAAATGCCTTCAAAAATAAGCTTCTAAAAATGCTAAATGGAATATTATGAGTACATCTACGGAACGGTAACCTGATACAGTTTCACGCCAAAATATCTAACCATAGTTTAGCAGACGACATTTAACAACCTGATTCAGGGCAGTTGGGAAGAGCCAGCCGTTTACAAAAGGCCGTCAAAGGCGTAGGAAGGGAGTACATAGAGTTATTGTCATTTATGTTGATACATTTACTAAGTTTCGATGGGTGTTTATTTCTGGTAGCCCAGCAGCTTCTCGGCCACCCCCAAGTAGTATACTGTCTGGGCAATACCGAACAGAGGGGCAATCACAATCATTCGGCAAGCTCCGCCCTTAAAGAACGCCAGCGGTCCTTCGTTCTTTAAGGTTTTCCTGTAAGAATATTACTGAAGATTAGTACAGGTAATAAATAATATTTGTCAATAATTGCACTTTCACAACATTCTTCTACTTAGTTAAGATTGAGTAGACTAAAATCAAAAATTTTCATGAAAGAGCATTAAAATCGGGAGTCAAAAAGATGCATTAAATTCAAATAAGACAGAATGTAAGTTATAGTAGGCGCGCCGCGGGTCAGGGATAGAATTTGGTTAATATGCTTCAACTTCACTACTACCCAGCTGATGATGACACTAATGTGTTGAAACATGTCCTGATTACACCATTCAGAATTTTGAGCTGAATTGACGTAAGTAATATATTCTTACAATATTTATGTTCAGTCCACTATTAATATCTTTCTTGCAAAATGAAAACAAATTACAACAAATCAGAATGATCTATTTCTATACTATTTGTATATATTTCTATGGCATTTTAATGTAAGTATGAAGCTCACTCTGAAATTGACTTTAAAATATATTAGCATCTTTGTTCACAGACGTTAACAAACTACTAACGACCTAATTGTCTATGCTGCTTAGTATGTAGACCTGCAGATGGTATTGTTGTATTCATTTTTAATTTACATAATAGCCTATAGCTATCCTACTTCCTACTAATATTATAAATGAGAAAGTTTGGATGTATGGATGTATGGATGTATGTTTGTGACAAGTGAACGCGAAAAATACTGGTCGGATTGGGCTGAAATTTGGCATGATGATAGCTCACATTCCCGATTAACATATAGGCATATTCTTATTTCAAAAATCCTTTCGTGCTCCGCCCCAGTGGCTCTGGAGTTTCCGATGTTAACCTTATGAGAAATGGAATTATTGAAGCTTAACAGCTGTTTCAATTAAACAAGTTGGTTCTGTTCTATGATGTTCAATAGCATTAAAGTTACAAGGATTACCAACAGGGTGCAGCACTATTATTTCTTTTAAATTTATGACAACAGCTCATTTGCAACCAAAAGGTGAGTGAGCGTAGCGAACGAACTTCAACCTGGAGGCGAGTTAGCGTAGCGAACGAGCTAACCTGAAGGCAAGTGAGCGCAGCAAATGAGCTCCAACCTAAAGGTGAGTGAGCGTAGCGAACGAGCTCCAATCTAAAGGTGAGTGAGCGTAGCGAAAAAACTTCAACCAGGACGTGATTGAGCCATGCGAACGAGATAATCTTGAAAATTAAGAAGTTAAACGGGGCAAAGCCCGCGGGTTACAGCTAGTAGCCTATAATTTTGCACATAGAACATGTTACATGACTAATTCATTCTTTTACACTAAGGTTGGACTTTTATTGGTAAATTTTGTTTTATTCAGTTTTGTTTTTGTACTGATATATCTGAATGATGGAAAATACAGTAGGTCTACTCATAACTATATTTCGTTCACAAAGTTTAAGCGCCTCTTATAGGAGAAAAAATCTATCCCCTCCATTTAAACCTACCTTTAAAATAATAATAATATAGCTCAAATAGCTGAGGTTTTCCAAAACAAACCAGCTACCCGCCATATAAATTAAGCAAAAAAGTAGTTGTGGACTTCCTCTCATACTACCTAAATTTTGTGAACGGAGTATAGTTTAGATGAATAAGTGAAAACAAAGGTATAACTTTAGAGTCGGCACTCACACAAAAGCATCCATGATTCCGTTGTATCGGGGTCCAACTTCCACCTTGCTGATGGCTTGAAGTCGCGTCTTCACCACGTCAAAGGGGTTGACACACAGAGCTGCGAGAGAGCCAGCCGTACAACCAGAGAGAAAACTGCACCAGAACACTGCTTCTCCTGCATTGAGGAAAAACTTGTATAAACAAAAACTGATGGCATAGCAGGCTTACCTAAACTGGGATAGACTCCATGATGAACCAGAAAAACCTTTCACTACAGTGAATAATTGGAATTCCTTTGCTACTGATGGTGTATCCAATCAACTTGGGTTTGAGTTAGCACAGAGAAGTAGGATACAGAGTTCACATTCAATCGTACACTTAAGTGGTAGCACTAGTCGCTGGTGTCTAGAAGACCAAAGCCCAACCCCAACACCATCTCCCTCGCCATGATTACTACAACTCTCACAGTGGAGGAAGATCATGTGCCCTGTGCAATAAGAATTTCCGCCCAGTGCTCGCCGCTCAGGCTCTTCCTTGCTCACTGGCTCGTCACAAGTATATTCCTGACACAACGTTCGTTTCTTCTGTACCTTACTTCTCTGTGGAGCCAGGTAGAAAGATGTATTCAGATCCAAAGGTGGCCAGGAAATTGTTCAGTGTTGCTAATAAGTATCCAACATCATTGTGTTTAAAAGGCAAACCCATATTATCTGCTTTTCAATCGAAGTATTTAGTAATCATAAAATAGAATAAATTTTGGAGATTGTTGGACAGATATTTTTTAAATGTAGAAATCTAACATCCAACAAACCAAAACTACTAACCATTTGCACAAAGAGTATAAATACATTGTCTTGATCAGTATAAACTATTCCGGCCTCCAGAAAAAAGCACACTCTTACCCAGCTGCATCCATCATCTTCATTACGACAAAAAACAAATATAACAATCTTTTTAACCAAATAAAAATATTAAAACTCAAGAAAATATGGTTACCTGAGCCATCGTTCTTGCGAGGTCCGAGGGAGTTGAGCCTGGCAAACAGTGGGAAGTAGACGATGGAGAAAGAAACGTCTCTCAGCATCGTAGCTCCGATACCTCGGTACAGTCCAAAGATACCTTTAGTCCTCAGCAGTTCCAGGGCTAGCGAGGTGGCGGATACCTTCGGAACTGTCTTACCCTCTGCAAACAAATAAAAATTGGAATACAATATTGGTAATTTGAAAAATGTTCGAATGTTTATAGAAGTTTAATTGAGAGATAAACAAACACAATAATAAAATTAAAGGTTATAAATTGATTCTTTAAATGATTTAACAAATCAACTCACCCAGCTTAGCCGCAGCTGCAACTCTGCCGGCGTCCTGCATCTGAATCTTCAGCAGCTCCATAGGAGTTGTGATGATGATCTGACACAGTCCTGCACTACCTCCAGCTAACATCTCTCGTCCAAGGGGCAACTTCCTGTCAGCCAAATAAATATTACTTTCATCCTCTACACATAGGATGAAGAAGGTATTGTTTTCGTCAGTTTCAATTTTAGGTGATAATAATATTGTTTTTGGTCCCGTATGGTTTTTGATGTCTGTGTGGATGAGTACAGAGCTATTTACTACGACTGTGGTCCGATTTTGATTTGGCATGTAGGTCTACTACTATTATTTTAATATTTGAAATTTTAAGATTTAATGCCAATTTCCCCATAAAACTAATAAAATAACGGATAAATGCCTCCCTTCAGAGACCTATATTTTTTTAAGTAGGTGGCTTTGAACCATGGGTAAGCGGATTGGCCTTAGTAGCATAAACCTATTAGTAATTTACTTGAACCTATAGTTTCAAAACAGAAGTTCCGTGCTCTAACTTTTGACCAGCCACATAAATGAAGAGCTGAAAAATTACTTCTTACTTCTTACTAAAATAAATAAAACTACAATTTTTCGCTCTTTTATTCCTACATTATTTTATGCAAAAGGTATTATTTAGAAAAATTATAGAAATTGGATGTCTGAGTTAGTTTTGTTGTAGTTTTGGTAATCAAAATGTTTTATGTAGTTTTCACATATTTTACTATTTAGCCTTAATTTAATAATACCCCCGCCGCAGCAAACCTGCCGTCTAAGCGAATTTCCATTTGGCTGAATTGATTTTCAATTGATCTATTTAAATAACATTAGGTTTAACGAGTACCTAGGTTTGCTGCTACAAGGAAACTAATAAAGTGTGTGTTTTAAGTAAAATAATTATTGCTTAGTATAAAATGAATATATTTGCCAAGTTTGATCAAAAGATATCCATCAACAAGCAAACTACAACATTTTACAATATTCTCCATAAGAATAACATGGGAATTTTAAATTTAATTTTTTTTAGTTTTCTCCGTAACCAATAACCGTACAAAAACACTTTGATATACTGAATTGTTTGTTTTTTTAAGCTCTTTAAGAAGGTTTAGAGAAAAATTGGAAAATTTTGTGTTTTGAGGGTCTAAAGTGAGAAAAACCTATTTTTACCCCATAAAACCCCCCATAAAATCCTGTTCCCATGGTCCGATCATGCTGGATCGCGAACTCATTCAAGTTTACCCCGCCTTACACCTTCAAACCAAATTTCATCAAAATCGGATAAAAATTACTCAAGTTATCGTGTTCACGGACACATATATATATAAATCTATATATATATATATATATATAAAAATTTGAACAAATGGTATTTTTGGCCTCTGGGGACATCAAAATGAAAAAGTAAATCGGTCCCGGGCCTAAGTCTTACCATGAGACCTACGGTAATAGCTACTTCCCTATAGGGAAATTCGCTAAAAATAGGCCTACCAGTTTTTATTGATTTTGAAAAACTAATATTTCAACTATCAGCTATTTCAACAGTAGAGATGCATTCTTAAAACCACCAATGCATTTTGATTGAAAAAAAAACTACCCCTAACATTGAAAATTTAAAACGGAAGACAATGGTATGCTGAGCAAAACATTGCTTAGTTACTTCAAACACCTTTGCCAACGGCAGCAACGGGATAACCTGTTGAAAAACTAAATTTATGGCGAGAAGAAAATGAACATGCACCGGTGTCACGCAGTCATTCAGAACCAGGCTATTCTGAGAGTAAGTCTATTTCTGAAGTTTTACGGGACCAGAGGTTTAAGTTCCGTGTCACCGTACTTTCACCAATCACTAATCTGAACTGTCATTGTCAGTTGAGAAAATAGTTTATAGCCTACTGGTTTCTTAGCACCTAACTTGCTAACTCTACGTTTCATTTAACTACAACTCTGATTTTCTCATAAAAATAAGATAATCATTACTAAAAATTTGTTGTACTTTTTGGAATAGTTAAGCCTAGTTTTATTCATGTTTGGAAATATTCGTATTCTTAAAAGCCTAGTTGGCATAAATTCAGTTTCAACATAAGAGATAAACTTTTAGCTTGATTGTTAAAAAGTTTATTAAACCAATTGTTCTGTACACATAAAAACTGTTTATTATAGTTTATTGGTTCTATCCTCATTAGGACACATAGTATTGTCGCCTTGAACAATTCCAACGTTCCATGATATAATAGGATTTTCATTTGGCTACAATTAACGACGCTATCTCACAACTGGCAAAAGATTGACGTTAGAAGAACAAAATTATGGCGTGGAAGATTCCTTTAAAAAAAATATAGTATAGATTAACATAAACACAAATTTACTGTCAACATTTTTACGATTATGAGAGATGAAATACATACCCATGGCCCGTTGAGAGGTGGTGTCGGAAAAAGTCGTTAGCCGCAAGCTTGATGGCTTTCTCTGGTGTGATGAGCAGAATGTTGACGGCAGATCCCCGGTACATACCAAAGTAGCCTTCCGCTCGGTAGGTCTTCTTGAAACAGTCCAACCTGAAGAGAATTTTTATCATAGTAAATTTGTTTGTCCAATTACAAGCTGGTGAAAAAATGGTGTAGAAACATAAAAATGAATAAGAATTAGACTGGGGTTCCAATTTGTCCCTGTTGAATGGAATAACATTCATGTGTAGTAGGGCAGAGCCATTCCACAACTGTTAGGGTACCGTATACAGGGTGTGTAGTAAGTAGGCTAAAGAGCCAAATTCCGGGAGATGGTTTTTGGGTAAAAGTAAAGAGAATGTGAAGTAAGACAATTTTCCAAAACAGCTTCGTTATCCACACATCTGCTATTTTGTATTTTTTACCCCCTAAGGGGGTAAAATATTGTTCTATTACCACACATATTGTTGAGATAAAAGCGGGCTGCGCGACCTAAATACCTAATGCCTAATGTTTTTTTTATATTTTCTCCGTAGCCAATAACCGTACAAAAACACTTTGATATCCTAAATTATATTTGTTTTTTAATCTCTTTAAAAATGTCTGGAGAAAAATTTATAAATTTTGTGTTTTAAGGGTAAAAAGTTAGAAAAACCCATTTTTACCCCATAAAACCCCGTTTAACCCTGTTCTCATGGTTTGCGATCTCATTCAAGTTTATCCCGCCTTACACCTTCAAACAAAATTTCATCAAAATTGGACAAAAATTACTCAAGTTACTAAAAGCTTCAATAATTATTATTATTTATGAATAAAAAAAAACAACATTCTAATTGTGTGCTCAAATATATTTAAAAAGTTTTGTATGGGGTTTAAAACACTTAAACTCTAAACATCCAGAAAATTTTTGCATGGTAGGTACAGTGTGACATAGCATGGAAGGAGTGGAATATTGTAAATAGAAGCACATAACACATGCAAATGTATTCACTCCAGCTCAATTTATGCGGCCAAGTCTGGTTTAAAAGTCTCATAACTGTAGTAGATGTGAACTTAGTTTGTGTGTTTTAAAAAGAAAAGAAATTGATGAGCCCCTGGCATATTGTGTTATTATTTCTTAGTTTTTGATCGTTTGAAAAAAATTAATGGTGCAGTTAGCAAAAACTTTATGTTTAGTTTTTCTTTGCTAAACAGCTGTCACATTTTGCAGAAATCAATAATACAGCAGCACATTCGTAGTTGGCTCAATTCAACTACATTTATTTTTGTTGAATTTTCGTCTTAAGAAGATGTTAGATGTTGAGCCAACGAAAAATACTTGCTGACATTTCATATGTGATGCAGTCATTCATATTCAGGTCTAGCAACAGATTAGTTGGTCAGCCAGTATTTTCTCCAGTTCAACAATACAGTCCAAGGAGAAAGATTCGACCACCTACTTTGTTGATGAAAACAAAATCTTTCTCTTTGCGTTTAAGTTTTACAAAGATTTGCTGAAGCTTTTAAAACATGGGATTTGGATTAACTACTTGTATAAGGATTGTAGTCAAGTCAAAATACTGAATTAGGAAACTTACATTGACGTGTACATCCGTTCTCCATTTGGGCCGACAGTCTGGTTTTGCAGACGAGTTTTGACTAGATCCAGTGGAAAGACACATGACACTCCGATTATTCCTGCAATCCCACCGTTGACAATTTTTGGAACAAGTCTAGAAAGAGAATTATAGAAATTATTGTAACAAGTTAAAAATGAAAAAAAAAAACAACAGGTTAGCAAATGTGGGATGTATACAACGTTCTTAAATTAATCTCTAAAGTTAAATAACATTCAAATAGCCAATATAATATTTATTATGTTGCAAAAGTATACACATTATTAATATCCACTTACTGTTCATCGTCGGTTATTCCTACTGATAATTTGCGGAAGAAAATTGTATATGCCTACCTTTATGACGTATAATTTACAAGTTATAGATTATGAAAACAAAGAAGGTAATCAAACGTGGCATAGGTACAAGGAAAGTTCTTAATTCTTATCTGTTTTCTAAACAAAATGTTTCAACCAAGTATAATGTTTGAAAAATGTGCTACTAAATGAAAGAGGTAATCATTATGCTACTTATTTTCGGCATCATGGTGGAAATTTTAAACAGTTTTTTTTTTCATACCTACAACAATTAAAATAGTTAGTCTGTGAAGTTTAAAAACATAAAAGCCAAACCATCAAAATACCTACATCCTACAAAAGTGTGAAGTTGTTATCTTAAGTTGACTATTTGTTGACAATCATGACATCTAAAACTGCTGTCTAGAATGATAATACTATAGCAGACACAAACAACATATACTGGAGACGACTAACCATTTTCTTCATCAACTAATCTTGAGCCATAGATTAAAAACACTCCCATAGATGCATCTTATGGATTTGCTGAGACAAATTAAAAGTATGCTATTCTGTCAAGTATTTGTACAGTGTGTTGTAATACTTTCTATTAAATTTTTGATTATTGCAATGAAATAGAACAAGGTCACAACTTTTTTTCTCTGGTATTACTAACAAAGATTATAAAATGCACTTTTAAGTTTGCCTACACTATAGAATATTTATTTGACATCAATACATTCTTAACTGGATTGACATATCGAATGAGGCTCCAGATTTTACATTGTGATGAGATATCTACCTGGAGTTATCAAAGTTAGTTATTAAGCTAATGGATCCTGTCAGTAACTTAACTTTATTCAAGCAAGTTAAATGCATAATGCATATAAAACCAGACGGGAATGGAACAGTGTGAGACTTAAAACTATTAAAACTCTTAGATCAGACTCGAAGCCTTATCAGATGACCCAAACCCTGGGCAGTGTTATTTGTCTTCTAACAGAGCACAGAACTTACTTGGAGTAAAGTTAAAAATGAATATACAGAGTGAAAAAAGTCCCAGGGCGGTTAAATTTTTCTAATAATACATAATAAAGATGGAGCTACAAAATTTGGTACACAGTTACTGAGTATTAAAATCATTCAACACATTATTCGGTGATACCCCTTCAAAGGAACGGCCTTTTAGGAGGCGAATGAAATCTTAAAGTAAGCATAGGTTGATATACACATCAAATTCAAGGTTTTTACTATATAGTAGAATACAATACTGCAAATTTGTACTCGAACGGAAAACCGAGTAAAAAATGGCAGCCCAACAAAGATTTCTTAAATCTTCTGAATTTTAATAAATAAACCTGTATCTTTGCATACAATCAGATAAATTAATTCTTTGAGACAGCGATGCACACTTGTATGAATATTATAAGCTGAATATGAACGCAATGTGTAGGTAGATTGTAGAATGGAGTGAGAAGATCTGTGTAGCTAAATTGTTACTAACAAGATCAGCTGTTTCATTGGTCAAGAGCTATAGGCCTCGCCACCCTAAACTTGAGGCAGCCCAAACTGACCTGCAGGACAATTACCGGCTGGTCCCGCATGATCCTTTTACAATCCTATTAGCGACGCTTCCATGAACGCCGTAGTTCAATATTAACTTTAATAAAATTATAATCTGATATATTAATTTACTCGTTTACATTAAGTACCTGGGGACCGAGCCATGGCTCGGCGTAGTTTATTTTGATTGTAAAAACAATATAAAGGAAACTCAAGTTTTATTTACAACTAATTTTGGCTTTTATTATTTAAGTTTTAGTGGATTTAAATTTATTATGATGGAAATTTTTACCTGGCTTGAGGATTTCCAGGTAAAAATTTAATTTATTTTACAGTCGATAAAAGGTTGCTCGTTTATAATAGCATAAACATTGTTTTGCCATTTTGTTTAAATTAAAACAGCTGATTACTTTGGGGATTAAGTTTTGGTAAGAGAGAGTCAAGTTAAATAATCAGTATTTGATCGGAACTTGGAACAATTTTCACCTATATCGAGTTATCTTCAGTGTAATCTTTGCTCAATAGTAACAACTGATATTTTCCTTTTGTACTGTATTTTCTAATTTGCTAGTATACTGTGGGTAGATGGCTTGAACACATGTTACAGCTTACAAGGCTTTTGTTTACATTTTCCTTGTTATTTTGTTCAACCAACATGGTTACTTAGCAACCCATAAGGCCAATGTTAAAAAGTTTTGACTTTAAATTTCATTTTTTACGTAATTAGATTTTTGTTGAAATTTTTAATTGCATTAAACACGTTTTTAGGCCAGAAATGAATTATTTACAACATTTAAAGGAAATCGTCAAAGCCGTTTCTAGATCTTTGTGCATATGTGCAAGCAAGCATACAAGCATATATACTGTACAAGCAAACATTGCTCATATAAGAGTATAAGATAGGATAACATAAATTTAACAAACATTTCTGTTTTTGTCCCATCTAAAACGGCAATATTTACGGTTCATACCGAAGTTACTGGGTATTTTGTTTAAAAACCAAAAAACCAAATCAAAAACCATAAAAATTGTCCGTTTTAGATGGGACAAAAACAGAAATAATTGTTAAATTTATGTTATTCATGTAAACAAGTAAATTAATAAATCAGATTATAATTTTATTAATGTTAATATTGAACGATGGCATTCAGGGAAGCGTGGCTAATAGGATTCTAAAAGGGCCGTGCGGGACAAGTCGGTAATTGCCCTAAACAAACAATTAAGTCAGCTGAAAGCTATTAACATTAATACACCTGTTTTAAGACAGTACAGTTGGGCTACCTCAAGTTAGGGTGGCGAGGCCTATAGGATGGAGACAATTTTGTTTAAAGATGAAGCACTTTCCACAATTTCTTTTGACTAAGAGGAATTAAGTAAAAAGTTATATAACACATGTGCCATTTGCTAAGTGAAATTAAACTTGTCTTTTAATTAAAATATTTATTCATTGCCTATTATTTTTCCCACATCAAACAGAATCACTGGATGAAAACTTAAAAAAAAACTCATGAACCACTTGGGTGAAATCATTCTTTTTGCAATCATTGAAGTAAGTTTTTTAGGTTGAACAGCCTTCAACATTACATAACTTCAAAGACAGGCAGGCATGTGAGCAATTTGCAAGAGATAAAGTGTAATCTAGTGAAATAATGATTCTTGGTGCTCATTGAGCGACCTATCTGCTACTTAGAGTAATCTCCATACAGATAATCAATGAAAAGAACTATTCATTTAAGAAGCCCTTTAAGTTCTTTTAATAGTAGGAAATTTTCTTACAAGTACCGGTACGTTCTTAAAAAAAGTTATCATTAATATGCACAAAGAGGTTAAATTTACTCAAACTAAAATTCCTAAGGACTATGAATTTATTTGTGAGATATGCTTACAAAAAGAAAAACATAATAACAACTATGTTGTCGATGCGACGTTTCTGTGTAAATTGTTGTACAGTTCATTAACTAAAATCTTCACAATTATACAAAAAATATATAACGTAAAAACCCTTTCATTTATGTTACTAATTTAGTAAAATCATTATTTAACCATCCCAAGTAGCCTAAATTGACAAGAATAATTTACTTGTGAAGTGGGCAAATGTATTTGGAGTTTAATAGTACTTAAATTTAAGAGCAAGAGAAAAACAGTTGATTGTTTTCCCTCAATCTAATAGCTTGAGGAATATCAGTTTTGATTGAAAAAATCTATTTTTTAAAGGAAAGATGAATATTAGATTGTTAGTTCTGAAATGGTAACTCAACAAAACATTGTTTTGGTACAGAACAGTGTTAAAAAGATTGCTGTAGCCTTGAAGCAATTTCAAGACAATTGTATGCATCCAATTTGACACTGCTTCAGGATCAATAAGTAACAAATTATGATTGTTGCGAATCAACTGGTTACTGTTGAAGCTAAACTTCAACCGTTATGAGTTCTCAGTTAGCCCAATAAAAAAATTGTATGACAAGAGTTGAATATGGAATAATTAGCTGTGACGTAACGAGTCTAATTGAACATGGTGATGAATATTCATCGTATGTTTCAATTATACTACACAATCTAATGTACAGTACTATCTAAAATAATTTACCACCTTTTCCTTAAACCCAATTGAACAATAAAATATTGTATTGGTGTAGCTTTCCTACTAAATTAGTTTACATGGGTACCTTGAAAACCTTTGAGAATCTTAAGTTTTACTAAGATATCTGGCTGAATTTTGTATATGCTTTTTGGCGTAGCTTATTTTAACAATCTCTTAGGAGGATCTGTTCTCCCAATAAAACTGTTTATGTTCTTATAGTCCTTCCACAAGCAATTCACCGTGTTAGTGATTTTTCATATTTATTATACCTATAGACATTTGGTTTGCTATGTGATGGAGAAATCAAGTCAGTTAAATGCTGAAAGCAAAATTTGAAATCAAATCTTTTAATATTTTGCAATTATTTTTTAATGGTGAACCAATACAAGAAAATCTAAGGATTAATATTACTAATCTCTTATATTAATACGTGAGGGCTGTTTTTTGTGAACAAAACTCCTCCGTTATTTCAAGACCGATTTTAACGTTTGAGGTGTCAAATGATTCGTCTCAATTCGTAGTTTTGCATTAAGGTTTTAGAATTTTAAAACTCTTTCCCTTAATGGCGTGAGACGCCCTCAAAGGTCGCATTTTCCCCATAAGAATTACATTGAACAAATTTAAAAACAAAAACAGCTGTACATAAAAAGAAACTCACCAGCTTTTTGGGAGTAAATATATTGATGTTTTTTTATGAGGTTATAGACAAATCTAAACAGTTAATCAGTTTTGTTGGAAAAACAGAAAATTTCTTGAGTTTAAAGGGGAAATATTGAAAACAGGAGGAGGAGACAATTAATAGAAAATCTTATACAAATGAGAAGAGTAGAGGAGAGGCCTGGTATCACATTAAGGAATCCAGATACACAATCACTTGGAGAGATGAATCATTTATGCTAAGCAACTTATTTTGGAAGTAAAAAAAGTCATGAAGAATATACACATCATGTTGTCACAGTGGTAAAGTAAACCCTACCTAAAGTCAGATAAAATAAATACATGCAAGAAATGTTTACTGGCAACAGGTTTAAGTCGGGAAACATTTGTAGAAAACAATAAAAAATACCCCCGCCGCAGCAAACCTGCCCTCTAAGCGAATTTCCATTTGGCCGAATTGATTTTCAAATTGATCTATTTAAATAACATTAGGTTTAACGAGTACCTAGGTTTGCTGCTACAAGGAAACTAATAAAGTAGTGTGTTTTTAGTAAAATATTGATAGCTTACTATAAAATAAATAAATTTGCCAAGTTTGATCAAAATATATCCATAAACAAGCAAACTACAACATTTTACAATATTCTCCATAAGAATAACATGGGAATTTTAAATTTATCATTTTTTTAGTTTTCTCCGTAACCAATAACCGTACAAAAACACTTTGATATACTGAATTGTTTGTTTTTTTAAGCTCTTTAAGAAGGTTTAGAGAAAAATTGGGAAATTTTGTGTTTTGAGGGTAAGAAGTGAGAAAAACCAATTTTTACCCCATAAAACCCCCCATTAAACCCTGTTCCCATGGTCCGATCATGCTGGATCGCGAACTCATTCAAGTTTATCCCGCCTTACACCTTCAAACCAAATTTCATCAAAATCGGATAAAAATTACTCAAGTTATCGTGTTCACGGACACATATATATATATATAAATCTATATATATATATACCTATATATATATATATATATATCTAATATATAAAATTCTCGTGTCACAGTGTTTGTCTGCAAACTCCTCCGGAACGACTTCACCGATCGTTATGAAATTTGGTGTGTAAATTCTGTAGGTATGCGAATCGGACGTAAACTATTTCCCGTTTCGAAATTCTTAAAATGTCTCCGCCCCAGTGGCTCTGGAGTTTCCCATGTTAACCTTATGAGAAATGGAATTAATGAATCTTAACAGCTGTTTCAATTAAACAAGTTGGTTCTGTTCTATGATGTTCAATAGCATTAAAGTTACAAGGATTACCAACAGGGTGCAGCACTATTATTTCGTTTACATTTATGACAACAGCTAATTTGCAACCAAAAGGTGAGTGAGCGTAGCGAACGAACTTCAACCTGGAGGCGAGTGAGCGTAGCGAACGAGCTAACCTGGAGGCGAGTTAGCGTAGCGAACAAGCTCCAACCTAAAGGCAAGTGAGCGCAGCGAACGAGCTCCAACCCAAAGGTGAGTGAGCGTAGCGAACGAACTTCAACCAGGACGTGATTGAGCGATGCGAACGAGATCATCTTGAAAATTAAACGTAACGGTACTTTCTTTCCATCGGTCTGTCTTAGGGGAAACCTATAACTTAGGCGATACGAAGTTCGCCGGGTCAGCTAGTATACATATATAAAAATTTGAACGAATGGTGTTTTTGGCCTCTGGGGACATTAAAATGAAAAAGTAAATCGGTCCCGGGCCTAAGTCTTATCATGAGACCTACGGTAATAGCTACTTCCCTATAGGGAAATTCGCTAATAAGGCCGGGTCCAAAAAAATGATAAAATATTTTTACAAGAAGCGTTTATTAGTTCAAAGTGCTATTAAATAGCGTGAGTATTTCAATGAATTACATAAGCATTTAGTCGGGTCTTTTAATGTGAGAATATTCGGAATATCGACATCAATAAAAAATGCAATAGGCCTATTGAAGAATCTATTACATTCCAAAAAGGGTATTGTTCCGCAAAGCCGTTTCTCATTTTGGGAAAATATCCCAGTGATCTCATATAAATCTGATAATTAATACAGACAATATTTGCTTTTGAGGTTTTTTTAGTGCAATGAAAAACCATGACGATTACCGGTATTAATTACATTTGTTTCATTTTTAAGCCGGTCATCAATTTGTTAATAAGTTGATTTGATTTATGACTGTTTATTACTTCTAAGCTTTATAATAAGTGTTTTTAAGAGGGAACTTTCCTTGTTAAAAAGATTCCTTGTATTTGACACTCTTTGCCATGTGTACTTATTTCTTCTAGGTCTATGTTGAAATTTTCATGTAAATTTTAATTTAACATATGTTCAATTCATTGTTTTTATGTTGATATGGTTGTGGTTTCACAGTCCAAGTTATCTAACACCTTGATTATAATAATTTCTTGCAAAAATACATAGTTTCAAACTAACTAAATTGGGAATTTCTCTCCAATAAGGTAAATAGTTTAAAAATTAAGTAGAATAAAATAATTAAAACTAAAGTAAATTACCAACAACATGAAAGAAGTAAAAATTTACACGAGATAATTTTTGCTATTTATTTTTAATTTTTTGCTATACTACACAGCTTTTTAAAAAAGCTTAATATAAACTAACTTATGGTCAAAAATTAGGTCACTGATAACGCTATCAATACTATAACAACAAAATGCGGTCAAGAATGTAAACAAACACTAGGTGCTGTTCATAACCACTAAAATGGATATCTAAAGATAGCGTTGGCTGCCTTGGACAATATCCATAAAGTCGGACATTCAGGGGACACAATGTTGTATTGATGCATTCACAGTTAACATTTCATAAATACTTACGAAAACTTTTGCGGAGGGATTGCAGAGATGGTAACGGTTTCATTCTTTGGTGCTTGTGACCTGAAACCAGGAATTGAATTACTTCTAGATAAAATCCTTGTGTTAATAAACAACATTTAATGACATATTTGAAATGTTTGAAATAGGTATTTCTAATGGTTGTAGAATACCGAACGTGCTACGGAGTAGCTACAATAGATTGAATTCTAGAGACTCAAACCCAAAAGAATTTTCTGTAGAGAATTGTTGGGTCGCCGATTAAACTCCTGGTGCATGCCAACTATCATCAATTCAGCTTTTTGTCTTGATAAGTTGCCAGTAAACAAAAAGATTTGTTCAGAACGTAGAAGAGAAGCTCCTCTCAAAATTATCAGGGAACACTTTGATTGTTTGGCATTTTTAAGTGTGTTGTGACCACAATAAAGAAATTAAATAATATTTTTCTGCAATACATAAAAATAAAGATGTTTATTATATTTATTAACCATCAAATGAATCTCATTTCTCCCACTTGGATGATATCTGCACTGCCAGAAATCTATTCAGATAAATTTCAGTTACTAAATAGAAGAAAATAATTAAGGCAAATAGCAGAAATAGGTATTAATTCCTATGACAAAAAGAAGTTGAGTGCAACATCAAGGTTACTGCAATGCTTGTAATATTTAGTTACATATTTAGGAGTTAAAATAGCCAAATTAGTAATTACCTATAAGGGAAGTATAACCCATGAAAAAATTGTTTTAGCATTGAATTTGCAAAAAAATTTACAGTTAGTATAAATATAGACTTTGCATAAATTGTTTCTCAGCAATGAGTTTGCTAACACGATTTGGATTTTAAGCTACATTGGTCGTTTAAAGCTGGTAGTATGAATAAATTTTAACACAAAAATCAGGTTATCTTCACAGAAGAAAATCAGGTGATCTTCACAGAAGAAAAGTAATTTGGCATGTCAACTAGCAAAATGTCTAACTTGCATAAATCTTTTCATCTCAACTTGGACAATAGCTCTAGGCTGAGAGCGTGCTTTACAAAGCAGTCACAATCAACCTCGTTATAAAGTGTTATTGTGCCAGGGTGTGTTGGTAGAATACAGTGTCTTTCTAATTTTGTTACACCATGCTTGAATAAAAAAAATAGCCTAATAGCTCTATGTATTTTTTTAGTTTTCATATTTGATTATATCGGAAGGTAGGAAGGGTGGGTCCAAAAAATTCTGGAAAACACTATTGTTGTGTTAAACAGGAATCTTGATACGTCGTCAGGCTTGATTAAGGAATGACTGTAGGTAAAGGAATAACTTTTGAAAAACATGTGGAGAAATACACAAAAAAAAAATAGGAGTCTCCATGCAATTATGTTATTGGCGGATGGTATCAGGACATGCCAGACAAAAATAGAGGCATGACTTAAGCATTTGATGACACTGTATAGAGGGTGTTGAGTTAGCAATGCTTTACGGATGCGAGTTCTAGGGTAAGGATGCTAGAAAGAAAAGATTTAAAAGGAAACTTTTGAGTACGGGTACCTATGCAAAGAAGAGTTTTGTTGAAAGTAGGGAAACAACACAGTATCGCATGAGTGGCAAATGCGTGGGGAGCAGATGAAAAAGAAAGCAGAACGTTCGGATATATGGCAAACAGCTTCAGAAGAACCAAGGATACATACAGGCTTTTTAATTGAAAAAAAAGAAACAAACAAAATAAAGAAAAAAAGGAATGAAAAATTTTCTTATGAAGGGAGAGGAAAGACTAGTTTTTTATTTATAACTATGAAAAATCTACCAGAATTTTGGGTAGGCCCGGGCCTACCTGCCTTCTGGAGCGGCCCCTGGGAATCAGCCTGGCAAATAAGTCCCAGACTTCAAAGGTGGTGGTGGGAACAAAGGGGTTTGGTTGATCATTTAGGTTATCATCAATTAATCAAAAGAAAATCTTTTACTGACTTAAGTAAAAAAAGGAAAAATAAAAAACTGCATAAACTGCACTGGGTAAACTGCAAACTCAATTACGGTAGGTCTTTTACCACCACCAACTTTAACAACAAAACCAAGAAACCAGAAAACGCCAAATAAAAAAATCGATAGGCTACTAATCCTTCTTCTCTTATGTCTAAATTGCACACAATTACGTGTGTCAGGTTCGATAGTTCCCAATTAAATTATGTTATAATATTAACTGTCTATAATTATATAATCAGGGAAATTAACCACTACAGCTCAACTCTGCTATTTCACCAACATCAGTATCAGGTGATAGAATTTTTACAAAAAAATTATTCTAGGATCTCACATGCCATAAGGAGAAAAATAATGACAATTAATAGATGGTACTTAAGTTATGTAACTTATGAAGGATAACAAATTGGTTGAAAATAACAACATTTACGGTACCGTTACCTACGGTAGGCTATTTCACCTGTTGACAGGTAAAAAACTACTAGTCTTTAATGAACACTGTACTATTACTTACAGTATGTAACTATAAGCTACTTGCAACAAAGTTTGAATGGCATCCAAGTTTCATTGAGTGTTTTACCGGTACCGAAATTGTTTTGCCAAGGTGATTACTGTATTTTAATTGCATTAGACTACAAAAGAAATACTTGTGTCTCACATTAGTGGACCTCCTTACCTACCTAATGGTTATTACTAGTCGGGTGCCAAACAATGAGCAAGGTTCAATTGATATTGCCGTTTGTTTGTAAACAAAAACTTAACAATATTCAGTTTCTAGTGAAAATTATGAGTTATGCCTAGTTTAATCTTAAAAAAAACTTTAGGCTATACACTATTGGAATCTGAATTTATTTTTTAAATACCGTACTTACAGAAATAAAGTAGGCCTACCTAGCTTGAATTTTTTTGCATGATTTAGCTAGGCCAATTATTTCTTTTGGCAAATATTATGCCTAGCTTTTAAGAAATATTAGTTTTTAACTGCCCCATATCAATGACTGGCACTTAATTGAAAGTATTGAAGTAAGTACATAAATACTGTTGTAAATTTTTGAATTTTTTGTCTAATAAATCAAATGATAAATAACTTTAGTTACGCGAACAAACTATATAATGGGGTTTTAATCAAAGAATTTAAATGAACAAAATTATAACTTGATTTTGAATTTAGTAAAAATTTAAAAAACCCTATGCAGTTTTGTGACATCATTAGACCATGCAACTGTCGTATGTAGACCTTGACAAACAAATTCTAACGTGCCTAACTCTAAGGATGTTGCCTCTAAAGAAAAAAATAGACCTGGAGAGAGTGGTCTGTAGATGAAAATTATTGAGATAAATCGTAGCTAGAGATATTCTTCCAGACGATAACTTTTTAACTTGATTAGAGCCAGAGCAGTCTAGTAGAGTACAACCAAAGTAATATTTTATCGTTCAAGCATTTATAGTGAACCATAAGGCAATGGCTAAAAAAATGGTGGTATTACAGTAGACTCCCTCTTATCCGGGCACCATTTAACTGGACTTCGGTTATCCGGACTACACTCGGCGGAAATGACATCTCTTTAACCGGACAATTTTTATTATCAGCTCATTGGTTTAACCGTACTAGATTGGCAGGAAGTGGGCAGTACTGAAACGACTGTTCTCGTAGGAAATATTTAAGACCAGTGATCACGTGTCTAAATACAATGCTCTCCTAAATTTAAGTCGAGTATCACAGTAAACAGTCAGTTTTAACGAGTTTTTGGGGACGTCGGTTTAACCGGAAAACCCGTTATCCGGACTGGCCTCGGTCCCGAGGAGTCCGGATAAGAGGGAGTCTACTGTAATCGATTTAGACCTATAGTGCCAACCTTCATAACAGAGAAAGTACACTGTATTACCCAGAACAGAATTTAATTCCAAATAACTTTGCACAACTTAATTACAACCTATCAACAGTTATGAAACTAAAAAGATCCCAAACTAAAGAAAATTAGAATTAAAAATATACTTATTTTCTAAAAAAAAGATTCCCAAGCCTAAATAGTTTATAAACGTTGCCTGTTAAACCATGTAAGTTATCTTATTGTAAATTTTGCAATTTTAACTAACATAACAGTTTGGGTGCATAACTTAAAACACAATCAGTCTAGAAGTGTAAACTAAGGCTTTAACTAACACAAAAGTGTAGTAAAAGGGACAACACTCAAATTTATAAAGTAAGCCCACAGCAAATTAACTTAACCTACAGATTTTAACAGATATCAGAGGACCTGAAAATTCTGTTCTTAAAATTAAATATATACCTACATTTAAACTCCAAAAATGTTTACAGGCGTTTGAATCAATAGGAAACTGTCTTGACAGATTGAATATCTAAAAATACACGATCGACTGCACTATCTAGATAGATTTCTATGCAAACCAGCAAGCAGCAGCGCTCTAGCAGACCGCTGACACAGGGAAAAAACAACGAACAAATCAACAAAAGTGACGAGCGAGGAGCGAACAGAACAGACAATCCATTAGCCAGCTGTTAGGCAAGAGTGCCAACATAGAAACCAAAATTCAGAACAATGTTCTTTATTTGTAAGCATTGACATGTATTATGTATTTTACTGTTATTAAGTAAGCCGGTTACAAATTAATTGTCACTCTAAAAGTTAAGGGGGAAATACATTCAGTGACGACTGACGACGGTTTGTTTCGTGGAGCGTGCTACCATAGACAAAATAAATAAATATTTCATTATTTTGTCTATGGTACAAATTTAACATGGATACTAAATTAAAATTAATTCATTGTACTCTTTTACCTGATGATATTTATTGAGCGGAGCGAGCGAAGCGAGCGTAGCTCTTTGGGATCAACTCCAAACAACAAATAGAGAAACATCACTCAATAACGGCTGAACGAATTTCAGCCAAACTTAACAAAATTAAGGTAAATGCACCAGTAGCTGACAGTGCTCCAGAAGCTGACAGTTTGAGTTTCTTAACATTATAATGTGGTCTCTTAAAAATATTTACACATGATTGCATTGTTAGAAGAACATATGTTTATTCTTGATTTGTTTACAAAAAAATCAGTTAAATTTAGCCCATACTTGCGGAATGGCGGTGGTTTGAAAGCGACCCTGTCCGTACACATCACATTTAGTCGATTCCCTTAATGAAATTGTTAAGAAAGTAAGTTTGGTTTTTTGTCATTTTGCTAAATTTCTTAAATAGTATTAATGATTAGGCTCATTATTTTGATCAATTATACCTTTGTTGACAATTTCATGAAAAAATTGGGGCGTTAGGGGTTTTGGATTTAAAATTATATCAATGTCAGGCATTGGTACACAAAATCCATACAAGTTCCAATAGCTGACAGGGGATATTTGCTACTTGCACAATATTAAATTGGTTTTACCCATCGAAATTTGCATGCTATTTATAATTTATGTGATCTCACATTTTTATAAAATGATTTTAATTTTTTAATTTATAAGCCAAATTATCTTAAAAAATGTATATTTTTTTAAAATATATATAAAATATATACAGGGTGACAAACAAGTCTGGAAACGGTTTAATATCTTTTTAAATAAATCCGTTAGAAAATTCAAACCTTTCACATCAACTTACATGTATGAAAACTACTTTTTCCAAGCATTATCATTTTTTTACCTCTACCAGGGGACGGCCCACGAGGAGTAGGTACATAATCTTTAATGTAAGCATATGTTGATATGCACATCATTTTAAAGGTCTGGTCAAGTGGAGTTCATTGCCAGAAACTGCGTCAAAAAAGGTTCATCCGTTACAAAATGGCGGCTGTCCAAAGTTCTTGTGGAATATACCCGCACAGGCCTTAGTATTGGTAAATACTCGTATTAAACATTAGCTTGAGAGCTGAAACTGTATTTTTAAGTCAACTAGCTCATAGATTAATATTATAAAATCTTCAAAACAAATTTTACCGAGTTTCAGATTTCCCGGCTAATGTTGAATAATATGAGTATTTACCAATACTAAGGCCTCTGTAGGTATATTCCGCAAGAACTTTGGACAGCCGCCATTTTGTAACGGATGAACCTTTTTTGACACGGTTTCCGGCAATGAACTCCACTGGACCAGACCTTTAAAATGATGTGCATATCAACCTATGCTTACATCAAAGATTATGTACCTACTCCTCATGGGTCGTCCCCTGGTAGAGGTCAAAAAATGGTAATGCTTGCAAAAAGTAGTTATCATACATATAAGTTGATGTGAAAAGTTTGAATTTTCAAACGAATTTAGTTAAAAAGATATCAAGCCGTTTCCAGACTTTTTTGTCACCCTGTATATATATTTTAATGTAAATATTATTTATTTTAAAATATGTAAAATAAATTTTCTTAATAACGTTTTATGTGATTTTATAATTTAATTATTAAGTTAGATTTTATTCGTCTTATAAATTATAAAACCTTTAGGTTTAGCAGCTAATACATTTAAGTTCCAGTGTCAGCTACTGGGACAACTGACTGTCAGCTACTGCTACAAGCACTTTTTCCACTGTCAGCCACTGGAACACGTACAAAGGTTGAATTAAGTTTAAAAATGTTATAAAATATATTTAAAAAACCCTTTTTGTATGACAAATTTGAAAATTACACTAAATTTAGAATCACATAAAATCCGTAATATCTCTTTAGTTCCTATTTATTCAAAACCACGGATTATTAAGTGCGTATAGTTTCTTATACTGTCAGCTACTGGTGCGTTTACCTTACTTAGACTAATAGTGAGATGGTTTTTAAACAAGCAAATTTCAATTGAGCGGAGCGAGCGAAGCTCTTATACGTCGACTCTTATGCATTTCGTAATACGCAAACTCCTCCTAGACGGCTGAATCAATCGTTTTCAAATTTTGCATGGTGATAAAGACCATATCGGTGAGTGCCAACATCTATATGGCGTTAAAAAAGCCTCTCAGGAATCCGCCCCACTGGGTCTCAAAGTTTCAATGTAATCCTTATGGAAGCAGTATTTGACACATAAACAAAGACATATTATCAGCTGTTGACTTTTGAAAGCAGTGGATAAAGAAATAGCTGATAGCATTATTACACAGATATTAGAACAGAAACGGTATGGATCATAAATATAATCGAATGACGACACTAGCTTGAGGTCCGTGACGTATGAAGTGGTGAAGGAAGTAGTAAAGGTGATCAGCAGTCTGGGGTGTGGAAACTGTTTATGACGATTAGATTAAGGTATCTGCATTCATAAAATTCTATGGAAAGGGAGGAAAACAGGTCCAAGACGTAGGAAGTGGTGAAGGAAGTAGTATAGGCGAGCAGTCTGGAGTGTGGAGAATGTTTATGACGATTAGATTAAGGTATCTGCATTCCTAAAATTCTATGGGAAGGGAGGAAAACAGGTCCGCGACGTAGGAAGTGGTGAAGGAAGTAGTAAAGGCAAGCAGTATGGAGTGTGGAAACTGTTTATGACAATTAGATTAAGGTATCTGCATTCCTAAAATTCTATGGGAAGGGAGGAAAAAAGGTCCGCCACGTAGGAGGTGGTGAAGGAAGTAGTCAAGGAGAGAAGTCTGGAGTGTGGGAACTGTTTATGACGATTAGATTAAGGTATCTGCATTCCTAAAATTCTATGGGAAGGGAGGAAACAGGTCCGCGACGTAGGAAGTGGTGGAGGAAGTAGTCAAGGCTAGCAGTCTGGAGTGTGGAAACTGTTTATGACAATTAGATTAAGGTATCTGCATTCCTAAAATTCTATGGGAAAGGAGGAAAACAGGTCCGCGACGTAGGAAGTGGTGAAGGAAGTAGTCAAGGAGAGAAGTCTGGAGTGTGGGAACTGTTTATGACGATTAGATTAAGGTATCTGCATTCCTGAAATTCTATGGGAAGGGAGGAAAACAGGTCTGCGACGTAGGAAGTGGTGAAGAAAGTAGTCAAGGCGAGCAGCCTGGAGTGTGGAAACTGTTTATGAAGATTATATTAAGGTATCTGCATTCCTAAAATTCTATGGGAAGGGAGGAAAACAGGTCCGCGACATAGGAAGTGGTGAAGGAAGGAGTCAAGGCGAGCAGTCTGGAGTGTGGAAACTGTTTATGATGATTAGATTAAGGTATCTGCATTTCTAAAATTCTATGGGAAGGGAGGTAAACAGGTCCGCGACGTAGGAAGTGGTGAAGGAAGGAGTCAAGGCGAGCTGTATGGAGTGTGGAAACTGTTTATGACGATTAGATTTAAGGTATCTGCATTCCTACAATTCTATGGGAAGGGAGGAGAACCGGTCCGCGACGTAGGAAGTGCTGAAGGAAGGAGTCAAGGCTAGCAGTCTGGAGTGTGGAAACTGTTTATGACAATTAGATTAAGGTATATGCATTCCTAAAATTCTATGGGAAGGGAGGAAAACAGGTCCGCGACGTAGGAAGTGGTGAAGGAAGTAGTCAAGGAGAGAAGTCTGGAGTGTGGGAACTGTTTATGACGATTAGATTAAGGTATGTGCATTCCTGAAATTCTATGGGAAGGGAGGAAAACAGGTCTGCGACGTAGGAAGTGGTGAAGAAAGTAGTCAAGGCGAGCAGTCTGGAGTGTGGAAACTGTTTATGAAGATTAGATTAAGGTATCTGCATTTCTAAAATTCTATGGGAAGGGAGTAAAACAGGTCCGCGACGTAGGAAGTGGTGAAGGAAGGAGTCAAGGCGAGCTGTATGGAGTGTGGAAACTGTTTATGACGATTAGATTTAAGGTATCTGCATTCCTAAAATTCTATGGGAAGGGAGGAGAACAGGTCCGCGACGTAGGAAGTGCTGAAGGGAGGAGTCAAGGCGAGCAGTATGGATTGTGGAAACTGTTTATGACGATTAGATTTAAGGTATCTGCATTCCTAAAATTCTATGGGAAGGGAGGAAAACAGGTCCGCGACGTAGGAAGTGGTGAAGGAAGTAGTCAAGGCGAGCTGTCCGGAGCATGGGAACTGTTTATGACGATTAGATTAAGGTATCTGCAATCCGAAAATGCAATGGGAAGGGAGGAAAACAGGTCCGCGACGTAGGAAGTGGTGAAGGAAGTAGTAAAGGCAAGCAGTCCGGACTGTGGGAACTGTTTGTAACGATTAGATTAAGGTATCTGCAATCCTAAAATGCTACGGAAAGGGAGGGAAACAGGTCTGAGATGTAGGAAGTGGTGAAGGAAGTAGTAAAGACGATTTGTTCGGAGGGTGGGATCTGTTTATGACGATTAGATTTAGATATCTACAATCTTAAAATACTATGGGAAGAGAGGAAAACAGATCTGTGACATAGGAAGAGGTGAAAGAAGTAGTAAGGTGAGCAGTGTGGAGTGTGGGAACTGGAAACCGTTTGTAGCAGTTTTAATGTATCTGCAATGCTGAAATGAACGGATGGAAGCATGCCCACGACATAGGAAATGGTGAAA